AGCCTCTGATGTGTTGAAGCGATTCCATTGATAAATACTGATCTTGGTAAAGGCATGAACACATCGTCCACAGGCAAGCCGTAGCTCACCTTACTAGGGATTTGAGTTGCAATAAAACCGATGAAGAAACTATCGTTGCTGAAGTCATTCATAGTGCAACTTTCCTACTTTCAGGAGATTTATCGCTTCCCTATTTTTCTCACTTGATATTAAGAAAACCCCCGACGTATGCCGGCTCATAAGCATCACGGTTTTACTCAAGTCTATGTCTGTTCAATCCCATTTAACTAAAATCTTTGTCCAAGTCAACCAACTGTGTATTACACACATTTATGTAGGAAGTAATCTATTAAAACAGAATTTCATGAACGAAGAATATTCTTTTCAATAATTTCTCATTAGGTTCTCATCAGATTGAAAATTGTGTTTCAATATAATGGGAATTTTTCAGCGAGTAATTTATTACCCTAAACCTTTTGGCGCAACTTACAATGGATCTCGGAAGGTTTAAAGGCATGAATTTGAGTAACATGCCATTGATTTATTCGGAAAATGTCTCAAGCGAACCCACTTTGACGTATGCATATATTTCGCGTAAAAAGCAAGACGATACATATACATAAGCAAACTGAAAATTTCGTCGCCAATCAATGCTAAATATTTTTGCTCTGATATTGTTGTAAATCTGGTAGGGCTTGTGGAAGTATTTTTCTTTACAATGTACTTCTTTTACTTATTTCAGACCTACTTTAAAAATGACACAAAGATTAACGACCACCCTTGTACGTTTATTGATTATCAAGAGACCCCAAAGTATAAATACAGATACCCGTACACTTCTACCAGTCTCAGGCTAACTGAATACTATCAATCAGTGCCAAACCTCCCACGTTTAAACATCTCAGAGAAGTTCAGGGGTCTACATGATATCATTAAAGTGCCGTGACTCGTAGACGTAAAGAACTTCAAAATAATGGTTAAGTAAACATTCAACGCTGATGCTGACTTTGTCTGTTTTGTGATGGCTAATAGCTGAAGGTACTCAGCCCATACCTGCTCAAAGCACAACTTAATGTGAGATGTTCCTCTCTGCAACATGTACTCAGTCCTTCTATTGATTGTTCCACTTCACTCCAGATTCGAAAGAAATTTTCCTCAAAAACATCACCTTCTTAAATCGTTTCCGCTGCAGTCGTCTTCAAGTAGTTTCAAATTAAGAAGGAATGAATTGAGTAAAGAAATTTCTTTTCAATTAGTTTTTCATCATGGCTCTACACTAATATATATACGTTTTACAATAATAATATAATACTCATCGAGTGGATACGTTACGTAATAATTACATAATGACATTTAAATTAACATTGATTAATTGGAAGAAAGAGGATTATTAATATTCAAAGTGATCAAGAAGTTGCTAAGTTGCGTAATGTAAGAAACAAAGAAGGAACAGAATTTTAACGGATGGTCAATAGGATGGTAGTTACGTAAGAATCAAGAGATGAATGTTGAGAAGTTATTAAGTTCAAAAGCAACAGAAATAAAATTACAAAAGTTTTAAAAAAAATGGAAGAAGTATGAAAAATAGTTCTTTTGAAGGAAATCTTAAACTGATGGCCAGGGCAGGGAAAGTGGTTGTACGAATCTCTTTTGAATGCAAAGGTCAGGTTTGTGAACATGGATTGCGATGGCTTCCGCAATGTGCAAGAGGCGCACTCGTAAACCATGTGGCAAATTAGATGGGATATTGTAGATAACCTTAAAAGCTTTATTCAATTCGACTTGATGACCTGTGTCAACCAAGTGAGAGAGAATAGAACTTTTAATCACTTTTACCTGTCCTTTGTTTAACCACGACGGATGATGTTCAGTAATGCGATGACGGACTTGCCGAATTGTACGCCCAATATAACTGGCTCCACAGGAGCAGTTGAAACGATAGATACACATAGATTTGGCGAATTCAGGCAGTCTGTCTTTGTTGGCTGTTCTTATCTTAGGATAGTTGTAGAAGATTGCATTTAATCTGGCAGCATTAAATGTTTTTTGTACGGCTCTTCTTAGTTTCTGAGTCAAGGTTTCTTCAATGGTGTCATTTATGAATTGTAGTTTTATGAATAGTACCTTCTTATGGACGGTGGGTATCTTTGTCCTTGTTTTCTTCTCCATCATATGTTTGTCGATGAATTTCATGGGATACCCATTCATGCTAAGTAGGTTCCGAATATTATTCAATTCTTCTTCGATGGTGTCTTCAGAGCAAATCATTCTAGCCCGATGTGTCAAGATTTTTATCAAGTTCCTTTTGTATCTGATTGGAACTGCACTATAGAAATGAGTGTATTGTCCTGCTGCAGATTTTCTGTGTACCCCTCTTTTTAAAGTTCCGTCTGATCTTCTTTTTAGTTGGACATCTAGAAATGATATGCTGTCGTTCTGTTCATCTTCTGATGTAAAATTAATTGATGGATGAACGTTATTAAATGTATTAAGTAAATTGTCCTTATCATTCTCTTTTTCTAGTACTATGAAGGTGTCGTCTATATAGCGATAATAAGTTGGTAAATGGCTAATTATGCTTTTAAGTGGTCCGTTTTCCAGTTTTGCAAGGAAAATATCAGCCAGTAGAGGGCCCAATGGTGATCCCATGGCAACTCCATCTAGCTGTCTATAGTATTCGTTGTCAAATCTGAATTGTGCATTCATTGTGCATCTGAGAATTAACTGTTTTATCGCGGATGCTGGAATCGGGGTTTCTATGCGTCTCTCTGTTAGTTCATTGCAAATAAAATCAACTGTTTCTTGTAGTGGAATGTTAGTGAATAAAGATGATACATCAAGTGATAACATGAAATTATTCTTGACTGATAGATTTTTTATGTTCTCAACAAATTCAAAGGAATCCTTGACACTATGCTTGACAATTTCTTTGTGTAATGGTTTAAGAATTTGCACCAACCATTTTGCTATAGTATGATACGCTGAGTTATTCATATCTAAAACTGGTCGAAGGGGTAAGCCACTTTTGTGTATTTTTGGTAGGCCATATAGTCTTGGTGTCATCGTTCCTGTAGGTTTCAACATTTCGAACATCTTTTCTGAAATAAAACCTTGTTGTTTAATTTCTTTCAGTGAATCTGTTAATTGCTTTTCAATCTTATCTGCTATGTCGTTCTTCACAGCCAGTTTCTGAAATTTGCTTTTATCATTTAAAAGGGCTTTCATTTTGTTTATGTAGTCATTTTTATCCATGAGTACTATTCCATGTCCTTTGTCCGGTTTCATGATTAATAAATTGTCATTAGTTTTAAGTTTTCTTAAAGCTTCTGTATGTTTTTTCGTCAAAATACCTTTCGTGTTGTGTCTATGATTTAAATATTTAAAACAACAGTCGACTAGTGTTGATTTAAATCTTTCGACATTATCTTTTGATGAAGTTACTAGTTCTGCCGTTTGAGCATAAAGATTTTTGAATTGAATCTCAACGTCCGTTTTATTTACTGTTTTCTTGAAGTCACAAAACGTAGTTTCAAATTAGTACGGACTGGTTGTGTCACATTCAGCGCATCCCCACAATTTACCCCACAAGTGTACATTCTTGAAACTCACTGATATCTAGGCAGTCTCAACCACTTCTTTGTAATCTGTCAAGCGACCGGAGTGTATTTTCTTTCAGATTCTAAATGGCAACTCATACAGTTGCATCGAAGCCACTTTTGTGTTATTTTACTCACAATCCCTAGTAACATGTTTGGTCTTTTGATAATGGGCACAAAAGTTCGCTGTTCGAAAGCTTATGTGAATAACTTAAAATCATGTGTGATTTCTAAAAGAAGAGTACTGATGCCAATTGCAATTTTGTAGTCAGTTTCTGTAGTAATCTGATGCAACATCAGTCAGTCTGCTTGATTCATCCTGAGATAATGAGTATCACTTCATTCAGTATTATATGCTTGAGCGAGAGCGTTTCAACGTGTTTTATGTTCAGAAAAACTAGTAATGACTGATGGAACTATTTATTTCGGGGTTTCATTTACTGCTACAAATGAATTTAATTTCACTTGCACAATTGGATGCTTAGGATCTGACAAGCCATATGCTGTAATTCATAACATATCTTCAGTTATTTCTGACTTGAGTGCAAATATTATGCAGCTTATGTCGAAGTTTTATGGGCGTGAACAGCCACAGAAATTTGACATCGGAATATCAAGTTTGCAATTCCCTTTGTCATCTGAAGAGGAACTTATAACGTCGGATTCATGTCTTCAACAAGAAGACGTAAGGTGCTAATTTGCAAGTCAACAAATAAACTGGATTATTTGTTCTTATTCCAGATGGTCATGTTGAGGCGGTTAATGAAAGATAGTCCTGATACGTACATGAGCTATATATTGTCACACGTGACATCTGAAGTTTCCAGCGATCTCACAATACTTGGCTGTTAATCGAAAAGAGCAATTCATAAGTGCAGGCTTTACGGCTCCATATGAAGTAAGAACCGTTCTTGCTAACCTTCTCGATTCGTATCTTAATTCGTCAAGGAAAAACAACTTGCTCTGGTTCATGATGCAAAGGTAGTTTCATGACATGAGAGGCAAAATACAAATACGTTATCGGAGAAAACAAGAACATGTATGCACTAGTTTAAATTCACAACCGTCGATATCTGTTTTATTTGCGCATTGTTTAGCAATAACGAATAAAAACTGTAAGTAACACTTCACGTAGGAGAAAACTAGACGATTCAGTAACACTCATAACAGAAAAAAAGAAAATTGAGCATTATTTTCTCATGACGGGCGGAGAAGCAGACATTTGGGCGCATTTTTTCACTGTTTTTCGTTTATTTCCTAACGTAATGTTCCGATTGTTTCTCTCTTGTTTTCCTTTATTTCCCCTTCATTGGTTGTTTGGCTTTCTATAGGAAAGAAACAGTCTTCATAACATTGTATGCTGCTAAATAGCATTTTATATTTAGCTGTTCTGTTTTCAGAGAATGACAATGGAAAACTGCCCTTTATTTTATTTAGCGTACAAATAGGAGCATTGCATATTGAACAATAGGGTGAATATATATGTATTGCTTACCTTGGGTTCTGACTCACGTTTGAATTCCCGCTGTAATGACTACGTTTGCGACGCGCTTGTGTGGTTATTCTGTAGTTGGTGATACTTACAAGACCGCACTAGATGTTTACAATTGGGTCAAGAAAAAAGAGTCTGTAGGCCCAATTATACAAACAGCTGAAGATAAAGCTATATCTGTGATCAAACCAATTGTTGAAAGCGGTAAGGTTGTATTTATAGTAGATTACATATAAAAGCAGACCGGTTCATACTTTGCCTTTAATCCACTACTATATAACATGTAATCGGCGTTTCAGAAATAAAAATTATTTGTCATTCGACGATAATGTACGCGTTGTGTTTTGCCTAACTCCTGCCCTGAATAGTGTTTTCTGAAAAGAGGTTTGTTTAGGGTATACTTCTGGTGTAAGGTATGAATCTTGGTAATACCTGAAGCAATGATGTCTGTAATGATCTCGGTCAGTGTTTAGATGTGACAGTAAGGTTTATGAACTTTCAATTTTCTCAATCAATATCTATTTTTATATACTAGCCTTTTAAATTAGGGCTAGAAGTTCTCACCATTGTGAGAATTTCTAGGTAACTAACAAACCATGTAAAACAGTTTATAATTAAGATGTAAATTACACTAATTTTATAAAGCACAACATTCACTATATTAGGATTCAGTCAACTGAAAACATATCGTATATATTTACTTAAGTTAGACAAATTTGGGCCATTTGGTGCTGGTTCGTGGTATTTACCTAAGAGGATCGTTATTAAAGCTGGATGTGATGAGCTTGTTTAGGGAGAACTTTTGTGTGTAATTCTTTGCTCTACAGTGGTCATTTCTCTTTATCGTAAAATACACGTGTTACACTTATTTGTGAGTAATAGCAAAATTTTTTAACACCGGATGGTTGGGGCTTACCACTTAATGAGATTTCTGAGTATATCTGTACGTTCCGATTAGAAAAACTCGAAATGTCAATTATATTTGAGGTTATTCAGAGTGTGTTGGGTATTCTTGAAAATGTGGTATCTTCGCATATATAGTTTGAGCGAAAACGTTTTTTGTGTTTTACAGGAATTGTCCAAAAGATCGATGATATGGCTTGTCAACATGTTCTGGATCGTGCTGAAGCAGCGTGCGCACAGATTAAGAACACTTCAAATGAATGCATAATTCTACCCACTGCAAGCCGTGCCCTGAATATTGCCGAGGCTTGTGCTAATCTGTATCTTCCGAAAGATGATGTAAGTATTTGCATTTTGAAACAAAAGTTGAGTTATCTTGAAACATTTTGTATTATTTTAAAGATTACTTATTTAAATTACTACTGTGAGTTTTTTTATCTCATAGGATCCAAAGTTTTCTATTGGAGGTGATGCTACACCAACAGAACGACTCGTACGTCTACAACATAGAGCATCAATACATGCTGTTACATTAATTCATTCAACAGTTGATCGTGCTAATTCACTTCTGTCTACGCTTGCGACTTACGGAAGTAACCTAAATCAAACAGTTTCAAAGGCTACCATTAGAAACACTCTTTCACAAGCTATTGCTTTGTATGAATTAGCTTACTCTACTGCTAAGGCTGTAAGCCTTCCTATAGTTGCACGTTGTATTACTGTTATTCTCGAGAATGTTCGAAAACTTGAGGATCAAATTAAAGAGGTTAGTTTTTTGGCAAGTATTTCCCGTTTTATTCCCATGCTTTAATATCTTTAAAATGCAACTTTTAGCCCCAAAGGTAATCTGATTACTGGTATGATGAAAAGATGAGTTACTTGAGATAAAAAGTAGTACAAAAAACTAGTTATCTACTAATGCTTCTTAAAAAAAATAATTAAAATACAATGTTATTGGGCAAACATAATTTTAGTGTATTTCACTAAATTGGATTGAACTAAAGGATCTCATTTTATTTGGATTCCACTTAGCTTACTGGTAACGTCCGTATTCTTAGTATTATGTTAGTGTATAAGTCCAAACAATATGATCAAGTTTACTAGGGCTTCAAGTATACATTACTGAGTACTAGCACTCAAGTAGGTAAGGCTTTTATGTTGATTAATTGTACGCATTAGTGACAATGAACACTGGCTAATCATGTTGATTAATGGTCACATTAAGTTCCTTGGGCTTAAAAAATTAAAGCTATTTGGTGATGAATTGATATTCATCCGCGAAACCAATTATAAAATGTTGATCAACTTAAACCAAGCCACGACTATTCTACTTAAAGCACATATTTCCACTGAATGTTTGTTTGATTGCTTCTGTCAACTACCAGTAGGATTCTGTAAACAGCTTTATAATGATTTATGTTTCTAGAGTACGAGTGGGATTTGATAGGATAGTTTTCTGAGCAAAGCGAATGAATGACATCAAGATTAGCATAAAATGATTCTTCTAGGGTTTTAGTATAAAAATAATTTCTTGAAGTATTAGTATAGTGTTATTCTAATTTCCTATCCTTATATGCAATCTTTCTTTTATATATTACCATCCCTGAATTAACTACTTTTATGAATCTGGTGTTCATCTTGTTGTGTTAATGAGGTATGGCAACTTGGACCGATGCATATATGTGCCTGGTCCTACGTTGTAGCCGACTGACTGATCCTAATTTCCTCTAGTACGCTACAGTTTCACTAGACTTCCTCAGTTAAAATTTTTGGGTCCATGAATTTTCCTAATAATTTTGAAAATAATTAGCTGAAATAAAATAACCCTATTAGCGACTAGTCATCGGTTAGGAACAACATAGAATTACAGAATTTATCTGATAATTAGTACAAAAGTGACGTATTGTGTCGAAAAACAAGCTCAGGAGTCAGTCACCTCGAAAGGACAAGAATTCTGACTTGATTAAGCTACAATTTCCAGTATTTGAGATTAACACTGTGAGTAACAACTACGCTCACCGTAAATGGGAAGGGTTTGTGCTTTATCAACGCTTGTTAGTTATCAAAATTTATTTCTCAGGGAAAAGAAAATGTATCTTGACTCTGAACGATTATATCATAGTAATGGATGGTTGGTCGAAATCTCTAGATTTCAAGAATGAACATAAGTCGCGTTAACTTCTTTTAGTTTAACTCCTTATCAGCAGAGAAACATTTTTGTTTTCTGTGTGTGATCTGAACTGATCAAGTTTAGGAAGAAAGTTTTAACCGGTTCACTTTTCCCTCTTGGTTGGATATTAAACTGGGTTTTGTCTCTACTTTGTTCTTTAGTCAAAAGGAATAAACTGGATGGATTTGAAAAGACTAGTGACGCTGCTTGAACACATGAAGGAACGTTTAGATGTACAAGAACCAGTTACAGAAATCGAACTCGAACCGATCACTGAGAAGCCAACATTTTCTCTCGTAAGTGGAGATGTTTATGAACTCACATTCTAAGACCTTCACTAAAGCGCATAAGTAAAATTGAAGGGTTGAGAATTTGTCAGTGCGATGGAGTTCTAGCTTGGTTATGTGTATTCGAATCTAAATTATTAGGTCATGCAATCAATTTCATTGAATCTATTGAATTCTTATTGGCTATGCGTTGTTATCCATCTCAAATTTATGGTTCACATTTTTGTTCTTATGTCCGTGCGGCTATTTCGAGTTGAATAACTATGATAAAAGAATATTTAAAACTCAGTTTATGTGTGAAATTCTCCCGGTCAGGTGATAAAATCAGACATCATTTGTGGACTCCACTTATCATCAACTCGGATGGAAATTCTTATAAAATCCTTGCCGGACTACTTTATTTTACATAAAATTTCTAGTAACGTATGTTCTCCCCGTACGAGTAAAGAACTTGCTGGTGTTAGCATCACTGCCTGTTTATCAGAATCTGGTGGAGAATAAAAATACTGGTCCACCCTCATCCAGACGTATAATCGTATTAATCTCCCTAAGTTTTCTACTCTCGAGATTCAATTTTACTCTGTACCGATACTTTGAGGACATATCTCAACTAAAAATTTTTGAATATACTTATGTATAATTAATATGCTCAATTTTGAACGGATAGCTTCAAAACTGTTGGGGGGCATAGTATACTAAAAGAGGAAATATATGCTTCTAGAAATTTTAGTTATTAAGAGGAAGACTCACAAACACACTGGATGTAGACATCAAAAGAATAAATGTTTTGATAGAGTTTTGTTCCCTGAGTTAGATGGTTTAATCATGAAGATTTCATCGTTATTCTGAACGACATCATAAGCATAAACTTCAGATAGAATTGAAGTGTCCGAATTTCTTCACATATGGCTCACAGCTTGTCCTGTGGACCTTGATCTTGTTTGGTTATTATTGACCCTTAACTTGTCATTGTTTACCGTCTGAAAAAAAACAATAATAACTGGAAAGAATTGCCCAGAACAGTGTTAATTGAAGAATCCTGATCGGCAACCTATGCTCTGTTTCACAAGGTAATAGGTATAAGTCCACTGTCCGTTCCTGAAGAAATTTGAATTTAACTCGGGGAGTTGGAGTCATGTGATTTCGATGACTAAGGTTTCTTCAAATATAACTTTGTGGCAGATGATAGGTGGGATAAAATCTGTGTACTGCAATGCACTCGTTAGTCAGTGACAAAATATTAAAATTCTCTGAATATTAAACCGAAAAATGATTCTCTCTAATTACTATTATCTCTATCATTTTAAAATAAGTGTATGACTCATTTGTTTTATTTTAATTTCATTACACTTAGAGTTCTTATTTTCCAAGTAATTTGATCGTATTAATGAATATCTTAAGGTTTCAGTACATTTATTCATAATTGTTTTCCGCTTCGTTTGGCACAAATGTTTTTGTCTCCTTACATATTTATCTTAAATCCGAAGTTTTGTCATTTCATTGTGGTGCATGTTTGTTGCAATATGCAGTTGTAGTTCAACCATGTTAAATAAAAAAATTCACCCTTACATTTTAAATGATGTACTTTGCCTTAAACCTGGACACGTTTTTGGACTATTAATTTGGATATGAAGTTGTAAAACCATAAGATAATTTATTGAAAATGTATTCTCCATTCATATTTCTGTGCTTTAGTGTAAATATCTAAAAATATGCTCCTTTATGTGATGATAAATCATACCTACTTTTGTCAGTCTCGTTGATGTGAAATCCCAATTTGCACTTTATTAATAATTTTTATGCATTTTGAGATTGATACTCCTGCTTTTCTCCCTTTTATATTGCTTTCTCCCCAGAAATTAGTTTAGAATTTTTTTGATTGATCTCAATCTGAAGGTCGTTTTTCAATATGTAGCTTATCAACAAATACTTATTGGTATTTGCAGTCAGGTGGTTATGAAGTACAAAAAGTATTTTACAGGATTCTAACAATAATTAGTTCTCCAATAAATGGCTCTTATTAGGCAGCTAGTATTTATTTAGATACTAGGAATTGATATCCTAAAAGGAGCATTCTATCAAATTTAGTAAGATTAAAATATAAAAATTATATTGGTAATCATTAGTAGTGCAAACTACCAACTGGAATCAATCTTATGTAGATATCAGATTAGGTATTATTTCACTGTGTTAACTGGAGGTAATTTGTGTCACACGGTATGGTTGCTTAATAGCTCTGCAGTTCTCCTCAGTTTTAAACCTTTGACTTTTACACTTAATAATTTTAATACCCTATTTTTGGTTTCCCAAAGTATTCATTTGTGTTTTGACAAGACTTACATTTACTTTTCTAATGTTGCGAAAGTTTTCTTTGTTTTGGAATACAGTTGTTAATTTTATCTTTGTGCGAAAATGTTCGTTTTGTATTCTCTCACTATTTTCTGATAATCAAAGTTCAGACACTTCTGTGTTTATAAATGTTGGTCATGTTCTATCAATCCTGGTTTTCATCACCGACTGATCAGCTGAACAGTAATAGGAAACCAGAAAGTATTCAATTATTTTGTCGCAGTCTGAGGCTCTCTTCAACACTTTAGATCATTTACAGCCCAGGGCTTGCATGTTTCACAATCAGTACTTTATCATTCGACCACTTAGGTGAAATACGACGTGCTAAATTTACCACATTAGTCAATTGACAATATATTGATAATAAGGTGAATACTATTCCATATGTTTAGACTTCAGTCACATTATCCAGTTTAAACGTTTAATGTAGTCTATAACTTCGTTAATACATCTGCATGATTATTAATTCACTGGATCAATTCATCTATATTAACCCGTCTTATACACACGAGTTACCTCTTTACATATTTGTAATATCTTTGGATATTTTTGGAATTTTTACTTTTTAGATTTCTGGTGATAATGATGAGTCCGATACAAATGTGAACGATTCATAAATAAATAATTTTTTTTATCATTATTATTACTATTTTCAATATTACAATAGGATAGATTTGCTTTCATGAACTCTGTTGATAATAATTTGTGTTTTTTCCTCTGCATAATTTTGATTGATATTATTTTTCGCATCTATTGATTTGACTTCTTTTGTAATGAAAATATAAGTTTATTGTTAAAATAGTCAATGCTTTTAACAGTGCCTTTGCCATTTTGTAGTGTTTAGTTGTGTCTCTTAGTTCAGATTGTTGTGTAGATTACATATTTAGTTGCTATAGAAAGTATATTTGGAGAGGTCCTATTTCAAATAGACTTCTGACTGTTGTATGAATTCCCTAAAAAAAATCTGTGTAAAACGTTTACAAAATTCATGCTTTTTCGGAAGCTGGAACCCACGTCATCTATTACTGCATTTCAAAGATGTTTCTTGAACAGGATTATTCACAGAAAATTTTCTCTCTGAAAGTGCCGTGGTCTTCAGCATTGAATCTTATGTAGGACAGAGCCATAGGTCATTTGCAATCCAAAAATCTTATGCAGTGCTAATCGAGGATATTGTACTGTATATTAACCTTTTATGTTCCTTCGCCAGTGGTAATCATTTCAATGCTATTAATTACGTTGAACTAGAATTATAGAGTTTTGTTGGATTTTCGTGGAATTGTTTATCAATGTGAGTTCTAACTGACTGATGAAATCGAACTATAATAACTCATGTGATTAGTTCATATTGATTAGTCAGGGTTCTAAAATGGAGAGTATTGCCGCTACCTTTTAATTACAGAAATGTTCACTCAAGTAAGACCAATGTTATAAAAGGAATTCCTTGTTTTAAGAGAATTTTAGGATGTATAAAAAACGATACTAGGAATCATTAATGAAAAGACTAGTTGGTCAATGGTATGCAAACGTAATAGACAATGAGCATTTCAAGATTTCTTACTAAGTCTTTAAAAGAAAACTAGAACTTTAAGTTTTATGACTTGGTGTAATCATTCCTGAATATTACCAACACTTTGTAGGCTTAGTGGTTTCTAATTTAGTCATCATTAGTAGTATCTTGGTGTTTAAAAAATAATTCGTTTCGTTACTTCTCTGTTCAATACACTTCTAATACACATTAAGTCCAGTGTCTGTTTTAATCCAAAGCAATTGGTTGAAAATCTTTAATAGTTAGAGGACTGTTATAATGCTGAGAAAATACTTCGCGGAGGTTTGACCGGATGAACACGACTCGAGAAATATTCATGTAAAACAGTACGAAATCATAAGAAACAATCTTATCCTCCTTGACTACATAATTTGGTGTGCTTGACAGTTGAGTTCCCAATGCGTAACCGCAACTTCCCGGCTCACCTATATTATGATTTATATTAAGTCGTGCTCCAGATCCTTCTGAAGCCATCAAGTAAACTTTTGCTAACTATGGAACAGTTTTCGATACTGGTAAAAGGATACTTGTATGGTAATTTTGTAATGTTGACTTAGCAAGTCCACTGGTTTGGCGATATATATTTGCCTTTTTTATCTGAGGTTGGTTTCATCTTGAAAAAATCTCAAGGAAAAACCAACGATTGACATTTAATTACATTGCTTTATATTACACAGGGCTCGTCCAAGAGTAACTAACCTAGAAGCATATAATGCATTACAAAATACAGCTGAGTATATCCCCAAAATGATAATGCTAAACGTTTTTACAGAATAAGATTAAATTCTGTAGTTATAGAGGTGGGTATATAATTTGCTTTTGTATTATATTGCAGAGGCCTTTTAATGTTGAATGAATAGTGTTAGTTATTGATCTACTGACATAAGTTAGGTGGATGGATCTCAGTGACAATAGTTTGTTGCCATTTACATCATGCTGGACTAAGAAATTACTCATAAAGTGCTGGTTTTACCATTTTCCTCTCTTGTTTATAGTAATTAAGATTCAGACTAGAATTTATCAAATGTAGCGACAGTTGTTAGTGAATGTATCATTAAAAATATGGTAACTAATTACTTCTATCCAGTCCTCAGAAGAGAAAGTACTAATCTTTTTGAAGTATAGATAAACCTACATGTTTATCTAAATGACAGTCATTTCTTTACCTAACTTGCCTATTATCTTGTCTGTAAGCTAATGTCTTTGTAATGTTTTCGAGTCGACACAAGAAAGCCTATCAACGAAATTATATAAATTATGTTCAGAATACTATGGGCGGGTAACTGAGGTATTTTATGATAAGCATTGGTTAATTGTTCTGTTTAACAAGACTTCGGTAAAGAAACTAAGATGTTTAAGATACTAGAGTGAGATTATGCATGCAATCCAGGCTACTCAGTTTTGAACGTCAAGGTTTTCCTCTACTAAATAAAGAGATATTCTGAGTTAAAAGCGTAGATCTATAAATTTGAAGTTTAGAGAAAAGAAGGAAGAGAACATTTATTGATCAATTCGTGTTTTAAGTTCATTACCACACACTGTGGCGAAATTGTACAATAACAATCTATAGATCATAGGATGTTTTTTAAAAATTCATTTGGGTCTTCAACTATGGTCATTAAGATCGTCAAATATCTTGCATATAAATAGGCTATTTGCCAAAATTAAAAAAAAAACATAATGAGTAGTTCTGTTTTTAAGTATCTATCCGTTGATCTGGATGTCTTCAGTATCTTAATTTTAGCTCTTTTGAGTAGCATTTTCCGAAATACATGAGATATTACTGTATAGCAATCAGTTAATATCTCAGTCAGTCAGCGACAATGTAGAACTTCGTACGTACGTACATCAGTTTAAGTTTCCATACCACATTAGCACAGAGATACAATTGTCCATCCGAATCCCATAGTGTTAGAGGTAGTAAAAGTATAAGCAGTAATAGGAAAGAATAGGGCTTGAAAATTCTATTCAAGGAGTATAATCCACCGAAATAAATCTGGAAAGAGAATAAAGGGACATAAAGAATTCAGGCGAACACAAAGAGCATGGCTCAGTCCACTTGTCATTAACTTCATGGATTTGTGCCATGTTTTGGTCTGGACGTCCCTAACTTTCTTCCAACATACTTTTACACCCTAAAACATCACTCGTTAATATCTGATGTTATTTAGTGATGACAAAATTATCTGTGATGCACATGTCGAACAGAACTTCTAGTTAACCATTATCAATAAATATAATTATTCTATACTATTCATAATATTCCTACTAACATTTTCATAACTTATTCACAATTAAATGATACCTTAATTTCATCATCATGATCAGTTCAATTTTAAGATAAAACAAAATGAATAGTTTTTTTTTTTGAAAAAAAACGCACAACAATTATTCATATATTTAGCTTTAATAATAAAATAATCATATTTCGTTTTGATGAATTTTTATCTTATTACATCATACATACACGTGGACTTAGTTCAGATTCGCTAGGTGAAATATTTGGACTTGGTACGATTATTATTATTATTATTATTATATCAGTTGACATAATATTAAGTTTTGAATCCTGTCATACGTTAATTATCTTATGAATAAATTATAAATTATTGTGTTTATTATTCATTAATTAAAAAAAAATTTTTGAATATGATGGTTAAAGGTCATCTTTGTCTTTGTTTACTTCAAAGTGTATATCATAGTAATAAATGTGGTTGTTATTCCCATTTATTTATTATTAATTATTCAACACCGAAAAAAAACACTTTAAATTTCATGATTTAGTTACCTAGTCGATTAGTTTTTTTAATTAATAGGGAAAAATGGCATGTCAGTCATCTACAACGTAGGATCAGGCACATATATGCATCGGTCCAAGTTGCCATACCGCATTAGCACAACAAGATGAACACAGGATTCATAGAAATAGTTAATTCAGTGGTGGTAATATATAAAAGAAAGATTGTGTATAAGGATATAGTACAGGAAGAAAGAATTAATTCATAGAAAGAAAGATATGAAGCGATTTTATTCTCTTAGTTTAAGGGAAGACAGAGAGTGTATACACCGACACCATTGTGGTCGATTCTGAGCCATGTCACTCACAGTCTTCAACCATTGGTTATGATAGTCACGCGGACCCCAATCAAATAGTTTGTATCTACCGACATGGCTCAGACCAAATCTTAGTGACTTCAAGCACTGATTCCACGTTTTGATTTGGCATCCCCTAAATTTCTTCTAACCATCCCCTACACTATTCATCATTGTGCGTCGTGATAATCGGTGTTCAGGCACACGTAACACGTGGCCCAAACATCTCAGTCGATGATGATTCACAACCTCATCAACTGATCTACCAACACTCCCTAATACCTTGTATCTAACCTCACTATTACGTATCCGGTGATCCCAGCAGGTGCAAGCAATATTTCTAAGACATCTGTGGTCAAATATTAGTAGCTTACGATTAACTTCTACTCTTAGTGGCCATGTTTCGCAGCCGTAAAGTAGAACAGAACGAACTGCCGCGCAGTATACTCGTTCTTTAGTTGATAGATGGATATCTCGTCTTCACCATAGGTGACGTAAGTTGTCAAAAGCCAAACGAGCTTTTCGAATCCGTGCTGAGATTTCGTGAGACACCAACACATTAGGGCTGATCAAACTTCCAAGATAAGTGAAGTTGTCAACTCGTTCGACTACTTCACTCCCTAAATTCATTCATATTTTACAAGTTTTTATTTTACCCATTTTTTATAAGTTTTTAAGCCTTCATTGTGACTGACTTTATTGGTTACTCTCATCACGAACCAACATCAGTTTGAGATTTAGTGAGAAGCAGGGAATAATGGACAGTTGTTTTGTGCTCGTTCGGCACTTTTCAATATTGTACACCCTTATCCTTACATGGTGTTAAACAAATATGTTTTCAGACTAATATTGTCATGGTATTCGTTAAATTCTAACCATAATTCGGTGTTTATAGATAAGTTGTATTGTACAATTTTATTCATTTTCATAGAGAATGTTCAATGTATACTTCATAGTCGTAATTTTCGTTGTCACATGGAGTGAATCGTCGTATGTAAGTACAATTAAAATGGTTTCTCTTATGTCATGAAATTCACGTCAAATACGTAATTAACAAGATTCAGATAGCCTGTACCACCAAATAAATCGTAATTACTGGTAACCAAAGGTCTAGCCCGTAAAATAACTGAGTCATAAAAGTCATATCAAACTTTTAGCGAGTTATAAATAAAATGATACAGCTTAAACGATTCGGAAACCGAAGCATGTAAGCTCTCATTAATTGTACTTTTTTCATTATTAAGACAGCAGATGGAATGCAAAATAAAACTTTATTTCTTAGGTTCCCTATATTACATAAGTTTCAGAGCAGTAATGTTCCCAGTCGATCGTTTTAATGATAACACTGTTCTAACAACATTTCGGCCTTGTGTTAATCATTAGTTTTTGATTTAATTAACCACACAAAGAAGATGTCTCAAATTTATTTGATCAGCTATGACCAATAAATAGTATTGCAGATAATTTCATTCATCTAGCAGAGATTCAAAATATACTCCAATAGAAAGTACACATGACTACACAGTTTATCATCATCTAAATTCCATTCATTCAAATGACTACATTATTTAATAGGAAGGTTTGACCACAAAAATACTTTCTAACACATACAGGAACAATCTTATGTAAACAACAGGTTCCGAAATACAGAGTAAACAGTTTCTCAAACTAAATCCAACCGTATCTGGGATGTCTCACAATTTCAAACTCAGATTCGGTTAGCTTCCAAATTTTTAGACGATTTTTCCGCAACCGTGACGATGTTCACGATAAGATACAAACTAAGGGGTTCTATATTCATCCTAAAGCAATTATATTAATTTCCACATAATTAGTATTACGGAATGATTGGCTTCAGGGTTGAATTGGAGGAAGGCAGAAGGAATTTCCCTTTAAGGGTTTGGTAAGTCGGAATATTAGGTTTATGCCACAGTATTATTAAGGCTATTCATTAAACCCAGGATCCTAGAATACTCCAGCAGGTGCGATTTGTTTACCTTCTGAGTTGGTATACGTTTTCAAGTTCAATCAGTTGACTTCAATGTGGTCTTCGTCCCAAGTCACTGACGAGTCTCCTTATGGCTTTCAAGTTCATTTACTCTTCAGTTTATAGTATCCTGTTAAACTTCTAGGATTCACGTCAAAGCGAACGGCTAAAGAGTACGCAGTTATATTTAACTCAAGTTGTTTTTTAAAGCATTGAGTAAACCAAGAAGATAATGAAGCGCCAGCTAATCGATACGATTGGATTAGGACCACACCATAAATTCAATCGACTGAATTTGTGTACTGTCGAATTTCGGCTCACTAGCTGAATGGTAATGTGTTAACCTGAAAAAGGTATTGAGTTTGATATTGTGTAGGCTAACGAGTACGCTCAACTAAGAACTATAATACTGGGTGTCAATTCTATTGTTAGGGTCACGAAGGATGAGTTGAACCTATCGTGGAAGACTATTTAAATGAAGCTTTCATCCAACTAAGCTTTTTTAATAAAATGACATATATATGATTATTGCTAATTAAAATACAGTGTTTAGTAGTTTGTTATTCAATTCATGATGTTCTTTAACAACCATCCGAAGATTATTTGAAAAGAAGCATGGATTTATCACTGGAGTTTATTTCAGTGAAATGAATGGAATGATCTATTACATTTTTCACCACAAAAAAGGTAAACATTCATATTTACTGAAATACTCAAATAAACGTTGAACTTTCACTTCTGTGCATAGAGACGTATACGAACACTGCAAGAATAATAACTTTTGTTTGTCCGAAAGAATTGTTGCAAAACAGTTGACGTACTGATGCCGAATACTGATTTTCCCCAATTTCACTGCAAAATAATAAAATTAATCATCCTAATTTTGTAATCAGAAACCGAGACACATTGTGTAATTATAATGATGTTTATAATTACTATTAATAGTAGTCATCATAAGGCGTTATTGGTGTTTATTGATACCCTGAATTATATTTCGCAGTCAAGGATAATAGAACGTAGAGCTCACCTTCCGTTGCACCTGGAACTAGCATCCGAAATATAATAAGAGAGCATGCTATCAAACACAATGAAGATGGGACGAGAAATATTGCGAAAATCGTCTTCCAATCTTTACGTGTCTTACCTAACCCTTAAATAAGTATGTCATATCTCATAGATCTCAATGAGACTTAACAACTCCTGGTTCACATATCTCCTTTAATAGGGATAGAAAATTTACTCATCTAAATCCCAGGCGACATTCGACCCAAACGACTGCGTGTTGCCTAAGAGATAGCGGGGTTGAACCAATATAGGCGGACGATAGAGAATGAGTTAATACATTACACTGCGGTATAATTAGATTAGCTAAGAGCACATTAGATAATGCAATAAGGAAATGGTGTTGAGAGTTCATTCTGGAGCGGTTGCAATAGAAAAAGCATTCATGCTGATATGAAGTACATGAGTCTTTGACCTGTATATTTCACATGTACATGTAAAGTATACTTGCTCACTGTCTAAGACTAACTCTTCGTTGCTGAGGGTCAGAAACTCTTTGAAGCCGGAACATGGCTGATAAAAACTTATGTATTCATCTTAGGGCCTTAGTCTGGAATGATCCATTAGGTCTGGCGTAATGCCAGAGCGATGACTATAATTTGGGGAACGGGCGTCGACATGACATCCCAGTGGGGTAGGATCGCGATGTTACTGCAAACTATAGACGATTTCTATCGACGACTCTGTCATGTCAGGATAACCCAAGTGTTTTAACGGGTTGTTAAACGCTGAGACACTGAATCCAACCCATACTAGTGTATTGATTTGAGGACGTGATCATCGTTCATTTACCAATAATTGTTGTGCTCTGAAGTGACATTAGCGCCATGCAAATTTTGCTTTGTCGAGATGAGTTTTTAACCTAATGAACCACTTGGTCTTCTAACATCGTTGGCAGGGGATATGCTGTATTAATCTACTTAGAGTGCTGCTTGTTTGCTAATTACAATATTTTAAGCCGAAAAGATCGCATTGTTATCATGTCATTGGTAAACGCGATTCTTATGATCAATAAAACTGGATAGACAGAAACAACTATGTTATAATACTTGCTATAATCGATTATTGTATTTTTGGTGACTACATTAAAACATGCACGTATAAAATAAGAACGAATAATTTGTTTTTTTACTAAAGCACACTGACTACTGTCAATATCATTATTAATAATAATAATAAAACTATTGTTCATGCATTTGATGTTTATATAAAGTACAGTAGAAAGTTGAAATTCATCTATAGTTTTATGACCTGACCTAGTGTGATTAAACATTTTTATCATGTGTTATTGAATGAATTTTGTTAATATAAACTTGTTTCAAACATGCATAATTATTATAAGAATTTATTATGATAATTATTAAAATTTCGCTCTAGACTAACTACTGTCAGTAAACTGAGAGTTGGCTATTTTTTACTGGTTTACAATTCTATTGGATACAAATTCTAACTACATAATGAAATGGAGAAAGTATGAATTTGTAGAGTGAGCCCATAAAAACTTAACAACCGGGTAAAAAATTAATAATTACTAAAATTACTACAATCTTCACAAACTCCCATTCTGATAATAATCATCATGTGCTCACTAGTGACTAGCTTCAAGATGGATTTCCTTGAGTTCTAGTGACAAGCCGTGACTAGTGGAGTAATAGAGAGTTATCTACCTCAGACAATGAATGAAGAGTTGCACAAGATCATGGATCGATTGAAGTTAGACATTAGCATCGCTGAATGCCGCTTCAGTGTTCTAGAGAGTAAGCGTTTGCGCGTGAGACCAAAGGTCCTGGGTTCGAGTCCCTCATATGGGACGCAGATGTGCACTGCTGGAGAGTCCCATACTAAAACGAAACGACCATTCAGTGTTTTCAGGTCTTTAATGGTAGTCTAGCCTAGATCAAATCATGGATTCAACTATTATAAAAAACTAATGGTCATGATTTAGCATGAATATTCTGAGTTATCATCGAAAAGCCATTTATCATCAGAATCTACTTAATTTATTGACAGATCATGGAATCTATTATAAATTTATCTTTGAAACATGATCTGAATCGAAATTTAATCTCAAGCATTGTAAATATACAGCTATTTTTACTTGACATGAATAATTTTCAAAATGAAACGATTCCTTTAGTTTTGGCAACAAGTTGAGAAATAATAGTTGTGATGAAGGATATAGTATAGTAGTTCAATACCTTTACAAACAATCTGATTATATACTGATATGTCATGATATTAAACATAAATATGAAAAGAAAACAAGTCATCAAGATAATGTAAGTGGAAGGTTTTCATAGCAATTCTAGTAAAATAGACCGATGTTTTACTCTGCTTAAAGCTTAAAACTCATTAAGATCTATGGGTATTTTCATAAATCTTTATAAGTGTTTAGAGTTGCAGTTAATTAACTCTTTTGTTCTTGTACTTCTCAACAATTGAAATCGTATATCTAATACCTGTATCTATTAAGGTATTCGAACCGATATACCTTCAAATCCGCTTGTAAGCATTTTTCCTTATTCCTAATCAATTACTTAAAATTTGATCATTATACGTTTTTACCGTGAATCACACATAAGTGATTAAAAAATGATATGTTATTGATATCACTAACCGATCTAAGTTAGATAATCATTGGAAATCTGGAAACACTGAATGGCTGTTTGTATGTGGATAGGGTTGTAGATGCACAGTGCTGATAAATTCAATGATCTTTGCAACTACATACTTATGATAGTAAAATATGATATGACTGTCCATTAATAAACATTAATAGCTGCATTCTATCACATATAGTGAATTAAATAAAAAAACGGATCATATTATACATCCTAAATTTATTTAAAGGAGAAGGAATAGACACATTTTTATTCTTTTAATAGAATAATCATGAAGCGATAATACCAGACATTATAAATAATAAGAATATTAAGAAACAATATAATACACTTACTCATATTCTGTTATTTTGAACAATCAAAGGTTTTTCTGTTTGCCTACAATAAATACTTAAATTTGTATACTTTCGTGTATTACTTGATTGGTTTATTTTCTTTGATAAAAAATAATGAATTTTACCTAAATTTTTTAAACTAGACTCATATCCTGAAATTTTGAATGTATTATTTATTTTCAATTGTTTACAATCATATCGTGTTGAAGGTAGTTCAGTTCGACTAGTAGCTAATGAGAACAAGAAAAAAAATATTAGATTGAATACACTAAAAATAATGAGTAATGAAGATTATTATTTCTATGTAATTTTGTAGTGAATGAAAATACAGGTGAGGAACAATTGAATGAATTGTGAACACCAAATTACAACACATCTTAATAAAATCTGAGAACCATACAGTAAATATTTAATTTCCAAAATATCGATCAATCGCCTCAAACTTGACTGTTCCTTTTAAAAAAATATCAGTCAATTGTCTCAAACTTCATTGTTCCTGCATTTTCATACCAATTACTTTGTGTTCTCGACCATCTGCTGCCAGACATTCTAATTCTGACTATCGTAATATACTATTCATGTCGATATAAGTAGCACACAACACACTTTCAAGTGTTCATTTGTATAATTGGATTCTTTACTTTTACATATATTTTCTTATATATTTTCTTTACTTTTTAATATGATGGGGACCTGTAACTCAAGATTCAGGTAATCTTTTTTTAAAGAGTACAAGAACAAAGATTGGTGCAGAATAACGTGAATTCATTTTATTTCGTTAGGTTCACATCAGCTGCTAACAACCTAAATTATTTGAAATTCAAATTATTGCAGATATTGACATATACCCTGGTAACGATAACCCCTTTTATTCATTCATTTCTCTATTTATTTATTGCGTCATTATTGCAACTCTTTCTGAAGTATAAATTACATCATACATAACTGATTGATTTCAATTCATATCTTCCTTTATTACCATTAATCTATTTTCATGAGTTCTAATCACTATTTCAATGTTCCAGAACTTTCCCTCTCTAACTTTATTTATTTATTCGAATCAAACATTTTATGAGCTCATTAACTCGATCTGAATCTTCGCTACATCATGATACACATGTATTGATCCTTAATCACACTCTAATGTATAAATATGTCAATATCTGTAATAATGTTGAATTTCAAATAATTTAGGTTGTAAGCAGCTGATGAGAACCTAACGAAATAAAATGAATTCATGTTATTCTGCACCAATCTTTGTTCTTGCTCTCTTTAAGATAATAAAAGGAACTATGTGTATGAAATCGTTTTTTAATTTCTAAGTCTCAGATGTATTTTTATATGACATAAAACATAATAAATCATATCGTCTATATTTTTGTATCCTTATATGTTACTACCCATTGGTTTTCTCTTACTAACTTGACTTAATTCACTATTTTATATAGGTCAATGGTAATTGAAACTCCACCTGGAGCCCCTCTGGGGCTACTGTCGATCCCAAGCCCGGATAAAGGAGGAGGGTTGGGCATGGAGTTAGCTACCCTATCCCGTAGAAAACTAACTCGCTAAAAAAAACGCTAACCATAAAAAATGTCAATTAAAATATCTAAGTGATCAGTAGATAATTTTCAGTTTATTAACGATTTTCGTATATTTAATCAACAATTGACTTGATAAATTTTAATATTCATTTATCCATTTAACTATAGATAAGTGATTTTATAAAGGATGATAATTGATTAACAAATAGTATTTCTTAAATAGAGCAAGAACAAAGATTGGTGCAGAATAACATGAATTCATTTTATTTCGTTAGGTTCTCATCAGCTGCTTACAACCTAAATTATTTGAAATTCAACATTATTACAGATATTGACATATTTATACATAAGAGTGTGATTAAGGATCAATACATGTGTATGATGATGTAGCGAAGATTCAGATAGAGTTAATGAGCTCATAAAATGTTTGATTCGAATAAATAAATAAAGTTAGAGAGGGAAAGTTCTGGAACATTGAAATAGTGATTAGAACTCATGAAAATAGATTAATGGTAATAAAGAAAATATGAATTGAAATCAATCAGTTATGTATGATGTAATTTATATTTCAGAAAGAGTTGCAATAATGACGTAATAAATAAATAAATAGGAGCAAATGAATAGAAAGGGTGGCGGTTATTGTTACCAGGGTAAAGAAAGATTTATTACTGTCTCTTTTTGTATACATAGATCTGGTTTTAAACGTTTGATTGCTAACGCTTCAGCGAATTTCAAAAGGTTCGAGTTTGATTGTTTGTTAATCACCTTGAAGGACTTCAGTATATCAGCTTTATGTCCTGTATCAAGGAGATGTCTTGCGATAGCACTGTTGAATGAGTTCAATCCATTTAATCTTAAACTTTTAGGAATATGTTCTTTGAATCGGACGTAGGCTCTCCTTTCTGTTCTACCAATGTAACTGCTTTGGCAGGTACATGTAAATTTGTATACACAGTTGGTGGTAACATGAAAGGGATACCTGTCGACCTTTGATTGTGTCAAAGAACATGTTGTTTTGGACAGGACAATCAATTTCGCTGCAGGATAGGTTCTTGTCAGTGCAGTTTTTAGTCTCATATTGATTGATCCTGTGACATCGTCACCTTTGAATTGAAGTTTAATAAAAATAGGCTTTTTATTTGCTGTAATTTCTTTCGGTTTTTTATCTTCACATTTGCCGTATTTCTCAATAAATTTCAGTGGGTATCCGTTATTCTTTAAACATTTTTTAACATTCATAACTTCCTCTTCTAGTGTATCGGAAGTACATATTCTTTCTGTTCTGTAAAACAGTGTTTTGACCAGTGCCTTTTTGTAACTGATTGGACAAAAGCTATTGAAATTAAGATAACTACCATTCCATGTGTCTTTCTTATAAACTGAACGTTGAACTGTACCATCTTTTCTTCTTTTCATCGCAATATCGAGAAAATGGAAATTGTTTTCTTTTTCATGTTCCATAGTGAAATGGATATTCTGATGTGCTTCGTTGAAAAACTCGAGCAGATTTATTGCTTGTTGTTTATTATTACATACGATGAAGGTATCATCAACATACCTCGAATAATACGTCATTTCATCAATCGCTCGTTTGAGTTTGGTTCATATGACATTAAGTAATAATCTCTATATCCATTTTAAACGTAGTCATTACTAAATCAGTTCATAGAAGGAGGAAAATGCTGTACACTCGCTTATGTAGACTGTATTCAATACAAGTAAATATAAGATAATATGTACAAAGCATTTATCAACTAATAAAAACACAATAGATGAATATTTCTTTATAAAAACTTATAAGATTTAAGTAAGAATATATTTATTGTTAAATTTCTACCCAATGATCATTTAATTTGAAACTCTCAAACTGAATTTTGGTATTAATATAATATCTAAGATCTTTTACTAACCTCTTGTTGGTACATTTTTTGACAGCTGTTCTTCGAATAAGGAATTTCTTGATGACAGTCTAGTATGTTGTCTTGATTGATTCCGTCCAAATAATTCATCATGTGATTGATTTGTAGAGAACAAATATCCTGACTTACGATCATTTAGAAGCTTTGATTTAGTCAACTTAAGGGGTAGATGTTTTATGTCTTTCTTATGTATTTCCTTAGATGTCCAACCATGGGTAAGATAATGCTCTATATGATCTAAAATTTTAGATATCTGAATAGTAGCTGGATGATCAACACCTATCGGTAGGATTAGAATAGAATAAAATAATGACAGAAATAAAAATATATTAGAAAATCCAAAATAAAACGTGAAGTAGGCTGATGTGAATTTTCCAGATTCTGTAAAATGAGTAAATTGTTTATCAGCTGCTTACATTCTCAAGCAACTTCAATATTAAATTTGTCAAACAAATGCATATAACTCAAACAAACTAACAAAATATAGGCACCCAAATCATTGGGTGTCAGCTCAGTGGTCTAAAGGTTAAGCGGTTACCGAGAAGCCTCTCTAGGGTTTGGTCCTATTTGGAGTAATGGAAATAATTAGCTGAGAAGGTCAATCCTATGACCTAATTGCTACTGAGTTCTTCCTGCTTTTCAATGGTTTTGTAAATAAGATCAGTCTGTAAAATTCAATACTCCCTATAGCAAGAAAAAGTAATTTTAAAACTTTATTATTTGTACTAAATAATCATAACCGAAAGAAATAAGTACTTACTAATAGAGTAGTTTTTTATAAAATGATTTCATAAATATAGAATGTAGCTATTTAGGGAACAGAAAGAACAATTATCTTGGGACGAAAAAAGGTTTACATTTTTTACGTGGGCACTTTGGGAAGTTAAAGAGTATACATAGACTAAAATACCCATTTAAGAAAATGTAGGGATGAAACGTTGTGAGAAAAAGTAAATGTAACACTGAAAAAGGTATAGTTGGACAGTAAGCTAGTCATTTTATATCAAATGAACTCAGATGCAATAGTCAAAGATCACATTCTCCTATTCTGTTTAAGTGGGTCTATCAGTACACACATGTAAAATAAGCTATAGGGATCAACTTATACAAATATCGTATCTGTATTTCTTTTGTTCGTAGGTTACTGGTATTCGATCATAGGTGTCTATGAAGCATTGCTTGTGTATTTCTGGACCAATGAATAAGCAATCTATGGGTTAGGAATAGAGTGCTAGGTAAAGATTGATAATCGATCAGAGAGGTCGCAAATCTCCGTCAACTCAGATGGTTGGAACATGTGTTATGTATGACCAACAGCCACCTACCTCGAAGGGCGTTGTTTTCTGGTGCAGGAGTGGGCTGAAAGAGAGCTGCGGATGGCCAGACCAATTAGTCTACAAAGTCACTGACAGTTAGACTTAGCAATATCAATAGGTACAGACTACCTGGTTCAGGTCCTCATGATTGTCGAAGCTAATTGTGAGAGACTTTGAACGACATGGCTAGAGATCGTTTACAATGGAGCAAGTGTGTCCATTCTTTGTCTTCACCTAAATTCTGAGATTCCAAATTCCTCATGACGTTTTTGTTTTGATTTCACTCATTTATATTTTCTTTTAGAGTTGTATCTTCGATGACTAATCTTTCCTATTACTACTGATATTGTTACTACCTCTACTATTATGCGACTTGGCTTGGCAGCTTCATCTCTCTGCACTAGTTAGGTACGGCAACTTGTGCACACGTACTGGGTTCTACCTTGTGACTGACTAGCTGCATTTATTTTTGTTTACAATGAATATGTGACTGAAACATTAAGCGGCTTTCAAAACTATAACCTTTAGTTATATAATACAATTATATTGACTTTAAACTTCTCAAATTGTACCAAAAGGAAACGAATTTAAATTGATTAAGTTTTCTAGGACCTTTTCTATCAGCATAATCTTCAGAGAATCCATCGAAATGAAATAAGCTACATTTTGGTTTGTTTGCCGTAATTTTACGGTGTGATTACAGTCAAGCCGTTGTAAACATTTACCTCACGTTTTGACAGCAAGTGATTCAAATAAGTAACAATTCCTCTACACACACTATTTAAGAAAAGCCAAAATACATATTATTTAGATGTCATGTGATAAAAAACAAAAAATTCTTACTACAGCCTATACAATAGAGTATATTATTTTACGGTAGTACGTCTACTAGTGTGATAATACTGAATCTCACCTGAATGAGCTTCTAGATGCGATTTCAATTAATCATCTATTGGTGTTATGGTTCGTTATTGCTTGAATGCTACTACTGATTCGTCTTATTCGAACGGAACGAAGGATAAATGATTCAGAGACTCGATAGCTATTCTGGTTCGTTGTCCCCGACTCTGCTAACTCGATCAAGAAGTCTGGGTAAGGTGTAGAAAGTGTATTCTACAGACAAACAGCAGATAACAAGTCACGTCAAGCACACAATCAAGCGTATTTATACAAATATTTACAATCGATATTGTCATGGAAAATTTTTAGACATTAATCAATGAATTCATTAATTGGCCGCTATTTAACATTTAATCGATAGTTCATCAATTGACCTATTTGCACATTTAATCTATAGGTTCATCAACTGACTGCCATTCAAACGTTTAATCGATAAGTTCATCAATTGACCTCAATACAAATATCTAAACATTTAATCGATAAGTTGATCATCAAGATAAAATTTAAAAATATGAGTTTGGGGATCTATCGTCCCCAACAATTAGGCTACTGAATTGATGAGTTACTACTAGTATAAGGGACCTGTAGTTTAAATCACAAAGTATGAAAATCAGTAAAACCATTAACGTATGACATGAGATTACAGCTAAAATCCAAACATTTGTACTAGGTAACATTGTATGTTACAAAATATAATTTCTAACTTACCTAAAAACAAACTCCTTTCATGCAGAACATATGCAGCACGTGTAATAGCTTCTTGCAAACTTATCTGACGTTTATCTTTTAACAAACAGACAACCAATTGTAAACATATTTCTGCTGGAAGTGTTTGATATACATACGGATTACTGAATAAATGTTGATTATTGAAATTTAATGTGATGTCTGTACGATTACTTGATAGATTTGATACTTTTCTATCAGTAGAATTATTAAGATTATAGCTTGTGCTTCTTGAAGTTTTAGATGAAAATGGTGATGATAATGAAGGCTGAATCTGCGGTATTATCAAATATCGAGGTGAACGTAATAGAATACTTCTATGTAATTTTGTATAAATGTGTTGGTTGAAAGTCGAAAGTACAGATGTTGGTGGAGGAATAACTTGTCTTATTAAAATTTCTTGGTTATATGTCATTATATCTAAACTCCATCGCAGACATTCTTGTGCACGAGTTCTTCCAAACTTCATTCGAAGAAAACTTGATGTTTTTTTCCAAAATAAATGAGAAATTTAATTATCCGAACCATCAAAAATGTAGTGGCAAAGTATGTAACAAAAGGGCAGTTAAGGAAGGCCCTACATTGGATGGTTTAAGCATGAGTGAAAATACTTTACTAACTCTGTGAAATAATAAGAGCTTTGTAGCAAATCACTGCAACTTTTCTTCATGTGTTCAAATCATGTTTTTTGTTCAGAAGAGTGGCTCAGCATTTTATGAAAATATTGAAAAGTTTTCTCGTATAAAATTAAAATGCGATAATCATTAGATATATTAAAATTAGTTTAGCCGTAAGCACAATTTAAAACTAGCTGGTTTCATTTAAGAAGAGATATTTTTAAAACCCGATGTCACATATAATCGTGTCGAAGTATAACGTACTACTCACTCAGTGCTTTTAGGAAAACGATTTTATCATTTATTTTAGAGCTACCTTCAGGATGTTCGGTTATAACTTGTGACCGCCGATTAGAGGGCAGTGACTTGTTGATCGGACCAAGGACGCGTAAAACTGTATGAGCAGCCTAGAGTCTTGATTGGTCCTGCTTTCCGCCTAGCCCAGCAAGTTAAGTCCACAACACCAGTCTCAGCCTCTGCAATATGAATCATTATATTTCAAACATACAGAGTTTTTATCCCAATCAAAAAGACCACAACGTACCAATAAAATATGAAACAACATTTGTACAAGAATTAGCCAGAAGTAGCTGTGAATGATGGAGGTAGTAATTAATATACTGGGTATAACTCAAGAATGGTAAAACTTATAATAATAGTTTATGGGTCAAAATAAAGTTTATAATAAGAGGAATATGAATATGCATAGTTTAGTTACTTAATAATCATATAATAGAAATATACGTTTAGTATTGGTCCATCAATAGATTCCAAAAGTTGCCATCCTTTATTCTTGTCGGGACATAACATGTTCTGAATAAATAATGGAGACGACAATAAACCACTATGCACTGTGCTGTAGACTAGGAACAATAGAGAGGAGATTCGAAATAATTACTGTATCTAATGTATTCTCTTTAGAGCTAAAAATGTACGAGTGTAATTTTCAAGGTCACTCCGTGCTTGGCATACTAATGAAAAGTACCATCGTTCAACAGTCCTAATGTTCAATAATACACAAGTCTATACAACTAACGAATGCTTTGTCGATGGCACAATTTTAATCTACTAACCAATAATAAAAATACTATTTATGTTCAGAATAATGATGATGCGACTATACAGCTTCAGAAGATATTTACCAAAACCAGAAAGAAAATTTTGTTTCTATCGAATATCTGTTTTATTTGTCATATGATTGTTTATCTGCTAAAGGCGTAGTGAAGTTCAAATATACTGTAGCATAAAAGAATAAATAGAACATTCAAGAGATGACCTACTTCCTTCATGTACATCGGGGAATTTATGTAATATTAAAGATTCCAATCGTAAAAAATAGAACAGCAAATAAATTGCTGTGATTGTTTCGAAAGTTTCTATACAAGTATTCTTGTGTATAAGATTAAAGCCTGATGACTTTAATTGCAAACAATACTGTTCGCTTATATGTGTTGTTTCAATTTAGATAAAATAATCGAAACTAAGATTTTCTATACATCTGGTAGTAAACGCTTACTCTTGTAATTTTTGGCTAGATTATTTATTGTTTGTTCTTTTTGTCTCCAAGTTATGTAAGTCTTCCTACAGATGTGTATGACAACAAGCTCATTTTTAATCAGAAACGGTGCACTCCTCATTCTATTTTCTTAAGTAGTGGAGTTAGTTTTTCTTCTCGAATTCTCCACACATCATTAAAGCAGTTGGATATTGTTGGTTTTATTCCTAACTAGCCATATAATTTAACATTAAAAATTCTATCCTGTCAGAAAGCCCAAGGTGCTGCTCAGACAAATGAGACTGAAGCCTTTTACATGGTCATCCAATTAAATTGATTCCAAAATTTTTTCATAAATATTATCGAAGTTTCGGTTTATTACTGTTCATTATAGTATAGGCAGCCAGTTTCATTTAATATGTAATTAGTTTAGTGCTAGAAGTAAAAATTTTGCTAACCGGTATTACATAATAAGAAAGGAAATCCAAACGCTATACATAAAGTTGCCAAGAGAATAAATTTCTGAATATTCTTCATTTCATGTGGCCAGTTATACGGAGTTGCAAAGACGTGACTTCCGTCTTCGCATAGTAATTTGACTAACAGCTAAGGCTTTTATACAGATTCTGGATCATATCAAGTTGATAAATCGATGGACAATCATTTGAAAAAAATTCAACCTATATGCAATTGATACGGCAGAGGACTATATCAAGTTACATCTTTTTGATGGTCGATGATCGAAAAGGTTTATATACCATTCTTTCATTCGTGACACGACAACCTATTATTAACGTTTTTATTAAAATAGTGGTTATGAGCTACTTGTGCTTTTGAGATCAACAGTGATGGTCGGTCTTTTGTTTGTAAGCACTGCACTGTTACACTTAGTATGGTTTATCATTTAGAATATGCCTCAAAGAGATTATTTTTTATGTTTGGTTATCGGTGGCCGTCACACGGGAGCTCTGAATGCACTAAATATGATGTACTGCAAAGTTTTATTGTAACCTGATCGACTAAAAACTATCAAAACCAGAGACCAGACATGATATTAGTAAATATATGGTTGTAAGTGGCTGATAAGAAAGCATGAAATAGGATGAATTCTTATTATTCTCGCTCAATTGTTGTTCTACCCATATTCAAATTCGTAAAGGGAACCAATTTAATGAAAGATCGGGAAATATTTAGCTATCCATTAATGTAGAAAAAAGCAAAAGAAAACACTGTCATAATCTAAAGTTGTATTGATGATACCAACAAGGGATTTATACCTTCCTACTTCTACTTTAGAACATCTTGAGACCCACCGATTTCTCTTTTCTCTCTGATTCTGAATGGATTATAAGGTTCACAATTTTAAATAAAGAATTTTGGTCAAGCTGATTTCTTTGTCGGGTTCATAAAAGGATTACTAACATTTCTCATAATCTACAATGTTTGCCCATTTGAACCAAAATGAGGATGTAACTGAATTACACATCTAAATTAATTTTCTAGTTAGTGGTATTAACACCTTGAGACTATCGTGCCTAATCAGTTTGTAAATTTGTCGTTAGAATCTACAAATTGTTTGGTTAATTGCCTGAATTTTCTAGTATCCTAAATTGTCTTGATTTTGACATTTCGATAACATATTTATGTATATTATGATACTCCAATTGATTTGATAAATTACCAAATTAACTGAGGTTGCAGAACTAATGTTTTCCTGACAAGACAAACCCTTAAATCTCAACAAAACAGATTTTTGAAGACGAGACTACTAGAAACTGGGTATGCGACTATATACTAGGATATTAAGGTTATTATAATAATTATTATTATTATTATTAATGGCTTTATTCAATATTATATTTTGGTACAATATAGAAATTCTCAGCACAGGGTATTTCAACAAGTTTCTCACACAAAAAACAGAACGGAAACAAAAACAAAAAAAAGGTCTAAAAAATCTGATAAACTGTACAACTTTTTAAATTAGAGACATGTTAAGAATGCAGTTTATTGACTAGGTTAACTCCAACAACCTCTTCGTCACAGAGTATATTTGCTAGGTAAGGTACTATAGAAATTTTATACTTTTGCTTGCGTGCATGGATTTTAATGTAATTACGTCTCGTTCTACCAGAAGATATACAAGGAGAAATATAAGAGTGAAGGAGATGGTTAGTATCTGATAAAATAACACCCGCCAGGAGTTTGCATGACTTTAGATGTCTATCCACAACCATATTAATTATGACCTCGAAAGATTCACCACACACCTTGCTAACTGCCTTCAGCACTCTCCGCAATACAGCAAAGACTTTTCTCAAAAACCCGGGAAAGAATAATGGAGAACAGTAAAGCATAATAGGTAATATGCAAGAATTGACAAATTGTAAGAGTAAATGACGAGTAATCCCAAGAGCATGCAATCTCTTTATGTAGTAAGTCAGATGGAAAACTTTCTTTGATAAAAATAAAACGTGAGAAGACCAAGGGAGATCAGAGGAAAAGGTAACACCAAGAAAATTGACCTTCGACATTGTGTTTATCAAAGAGTCTCCAATGGCACGAGCATTATGGGATCTCAAAATGGTGTTTAGATGCCGTTCATGTCTCATGCTAAAGTTAACACCTTGACATTTAGACGGAATAAGTATAAGACCATTACCAACAGACCAACAAAGGTACTATATTCAAGCAAAATAGATTGGCTATAAGTTCATTGTCTGTTAACAGATGAGTTAACCACAGATGAAAATAAAGATTATTGAAGAATCAACCAATAGTTTATTGTTTATATTGGTCGTAAAAACATATAAGTCGTCATTACTACATTTCTGTTACTGATCTAACCTCAATAACCATTAAAATAAAATCAAGCTTATGATTATGATAACTATGAAGTGTATTTGAAGTCTAAAGGTAGTTGAGTATGCTTTTTATGGATAGTGTATTAGTTAAAGGTGACTGGACAATAGTTGGATGATAATAGAACTGCTTTTCAATATATATTCTAAGTATTGTTCCTTTAAATTAGCATAAGATCGTATGTTAGTCTCTATTTCTTATTCATTAGCTAACTATTTATTCACAACTTCATGTCAGTCTTTCAAATATCTTAGTTATGTTGCGGATATATCGCATTTGCTGTAGCCAAATAGCACAAAATCAGTTTAAAATATTTGTCAAATAACTGTTTAATATGATAGTTATTTTTCATTTGTGTATTTCAAAAGTAAAAATAGTTTCTTTAAACTAACATACTTTATTTCATCTAATTCATTATTATCACCATTAAGTGGTTTTTGTAAAGATAGTGCTAAAATTACTAGCCATTCAGCTATCAAAGGATGATATTCACCTTGATCTGCCATACATTCACTTATAGCCTGAAACATTAGAAATTCATGTTCTTTTGTATTCATCTGTAGCAGTCTGAAATGAAAAGAATAAATGTATAAAATAATAAAGCTGTTACATAATACTTAAAGCTTAAAGTTAATCTCCCTAATAAACCATTGACTTTAATAAGATATCTGAATGTATTCAAGATATAAAAAGAACTCGATTACATTACTCGATTACACTTCAATTAATTACTGATAATTACCATGTGCCCACCAATGACTAGCTTCGCGAGGGAATTCTCGGAGTTCTAATGAGAAGCTGTAACCAGTGTCGGTTAGAGACAGGTATCTACCTCAGTACAATAGATTGTCGCGCAATTGCGTGGATTGGTTGAAGTTAGACATTAACACCACTGAATGCCGGCTCAATGGTCTAGAGGTTAAGCGTTCGCACACGAGACCAAAGGCCCTGGGTTTGAAACCCGTGAGCGGGATCGTGGATGTGCACTGTTGAGGAGTCCCACAATCTGACGAAACGGCCATCCAGTGCTTCCAGGTTTACAATGGTGGTCTAACATCAACTGGTTAACGATCTCAATCAAAAAATTAATGAAGTATTTATCTTTCATTCAATCGTAATTCCTATCATTAAAAACAAAAACTAAGAAAATCATCTATTAATGTAGCTTTGTGATGACTTCTACTAAAACTAAACTCAGATAACCATACAAAATATTCGATGTGTTCACAAAACAATATTATAAATTACACCTTTAAGCAGAATAATAAATCATTTATTCAATAATCAACTGATATTATATGCTTACAAGTTTTATTACAATTCCAAAACTATTTCAATAAACAAATTGTTTATTAGCTTACCTTATTTTAGCTAAAAGATACATACTTATAGCTAATAATGTTTTATCTATTGATTGAGAATTGTATTGTTTAGTCTCTTGTATTGTTTGACAAATTTGATATTCAAATAAATTTAATTGTTCATTACCACTTTCTGTCAATCCAATAACAGATTCTAGTCGATACATTTTAATATAAGCTGTAAAATAATATGCATTTTTATGTTTTAGGGGATATAAAAAGTAACACTTTAGAACGTTTAGTAGGAAATCAGTTCTTAGAAAAAGTTAAACATGTGAAAACTTATTAGATATTATAAGCAGAAAGACTATTGAAAATTAGACAGATAATCTATCGACACGTTCTTAGCTTTGCAAGAATCATGTACACAAAAATTAACTTTATTAGCTTACTTTATAAGTCACTGGTTTCTTTTATAGAGTTAAATTCAGAGGCATTTCACATCTTTTGGATAACTTACAATGAAAAGTTTAAATCGTGTATATTGTCCCATCAACTGCTCTCATTAAAACATTACAAAGATAGGGAATTTTCAACATGAAGGTTTTTGTCCAAAAATACTTGAACTATTCTAGAACCTTCTTACAAGTAACTATGTACTTCGTAGTTGACAGATGTTTTTCTAAAATAACTTCAAAAAGTGAATTCACAAATGGGGTCTTTAAGGATTCCAGTTCATGAAATGAATTTCTTCACAAGTCGATCATCATATAGTAGACCTTAAGATTCATAGGTTATCATTACTGACCAGGTTTATCAAAAAGTTCAGTTGTCCCAATTGCTGTATCGTCTGTGTAATCCCTTAGTTCAGATGCCTTTCAGTTTTATTGTACAAATGCTGCGAAAATTTCAGTCTCTTATTTCACTTATTAAGCACTAATTATGTACGAGATTGAAGGTTATCAATATGAAAAACATCTATTATAAATGATAACCTATTCTATTCGGTCCATGTTAATTACTGGAATGTAACATATATTAGACAATGACAGACTGCAAATTTATCTCAATCATAAATTAATTTCTTAATATTGTTTCATATTATTCACATCGGTTCTGTCTAACTTTATTTATTCTTTTGCAATGCATTTTCGCTGTTCCAAACTTCGTTTGACACTTTTCATCTTACAAGAACACATGTATCTTAGGTACCGCTTTGCGCAAACAATAAAATGAAGCAAAATATACTGTGTTCGGGTCTCGAAGTAAATATCAAAACTGGGGTGCAAACACATCCAGCTGATGAGTTCTGAATAGAACGGAGTTCACGACATGCATTCCATTGCCAAACACTATCAAACCAGTGCTTAAGAACTCAAATGCCGTTCAAAAATAAAGTCCATAAACGTCAAAATATTGAGATGAAATGTAGAATATATTGTACAACCTCTTTTCAAAAGTAAAAATAATAACTCCTCAGAAAATAAGAGATTATTTACATATAATTCATATTATAGTATTTATTAATCACAGCCGCATGGCTACATGAAGAAACTTCACAACATATGCTTTTGTGTAAGTATAAATATTGTCTCCTTGTGTCAGACTAAATGTAACTTGCATTAAATCCTTCCTGAGTCATGACTGTCAAACTAAGTACTCAAAACGAAAGATTTCTAGCTTAAAATGTTTATCAGTAAGACGAAATTTAATTTAATTTATTCTGTTGCTGAACATAATCCTCCTGATTAATGCTTTTGAAACAGTTGCCGATTTAATGTGACAGTATGCTAGATATAACTAGATAAATCAACAGGAGCTATTGAGTTCTATTTTGTCATTGTTGATTCATCAGACTGTCTGTTTCAAGCAAAAAAGCTACATATTAATAATGGCAAAAATTCATTATATACCAAAATTCACTATAGTTAATTAAATCTATCAATTAATCAATCAAATAGTATGCTTTGAATTCATTTCATCTCAAGACTTCTCATCAGCTACAAACGGCCTAAATCTATAATAGGAATATTATATTCAAAAATGTTATTACATACCTTAGTCTATAAAGGTTAGTTCGAAACAAAACAAGTGGAAATAATATATTTAATATTATAGTCATGATTGATTGGTATATATACAACTATATATACAAATGTATAGCTTAAGTTAATGATTTCATTGAAAAGAAAATTTTCTTCGCTGAATTCTCATTTTCTTATTCAATGACACTATGGGTTATTTTAATTATCTGGTATATATATATATATATATATATATATATATTGAAGATGAAATCATAAAAAAAACGAGTAGGAGGTTAACTTGTAAGTTATAATAGAGTGACAATGAATAATAACAAACTGTTACCAACTGAATGATAAACAAGGCACTTATTTAACATAAAGTTAACGTCTTAAGTGAATGTCAATGGGATATTTAAGAAATAATGTAACACTAACAAGCATTAAAATAATATAACTTTCTTTTTATAGGTATATCTGAAGGTCAGTGAGTGCATTTTATTAAAATAATAATTAAATACCATCAAAGTGATATTATAGGAAACATATACCTAAAGCTGTAGAAATCCTTTGTTCCATGAATCTGGCTTCATCTGTATTACATAACGTTGGCATAGATGATTCTTTTAGCCATTCTGTTATCATCATTTCAGTTTCATAAATGATAGATTGATATAACATAAAATGATCGTCAATTGATTCATTCACTTCATTTCTTAAGTAACGAAGTTTATTCACAACACTTAATCCTAGGTGGCTCAACTGTAAAATATCTGCCTTACAGAGAGTTTTACGCTGTGAAAGAAAAAAAGTGTAATTGTAGTCTAAATGATAATTTTACAGAAGAATGATGTTTAAGTTTGATCAAATTTATTCCAGTACAGAATGACTTTCACTACAAAAATCTCATAAAATTTGGTTTAAATGAGATTTATTCTATAATGATTTTTTCAAGAATAAAATCACACCATTAAGATATGAATCAAAAGTCTCAAAACTTCAATGATTTATAAGATTAACTTAAGTAGTAAACAATTAGTTTCACATATTAACAGTAGAATAATTACTTTAAATTTCATATAATTTTTCCTATTTATAAACTTTTTATTTTATTTTATTTGAACACATAAATATTGGTATAAGAGGGCACCAAATATATATGCGCCACACCATATTTGTGTGTGTGGTCTGTGATACTGTCCGGGTGCCCAGACCGAAGCAGGTGGTTTTCTTAGGGGGCCACACCCCGAGCCTTTGATCTAGAGGTCTAACCCACAAGTCAGTGGAGCATCGTGAGGAGATGCAGTTCCATGGTAGCCAGTGACCAACGATTGGTTCATACGCCATTTGTTCCTTCAGGATACTGAAGCCCATCTACACCATTGGTTTGGGATCCGGCTAAAGCGCCGGACATCCGCTTTTCGTCCTCTCATTTTCGTAAACAACACCCCGCCACGAGAGGGCAGTGAGTAGGACTTCCCTGGCAGAGGCTGTATACGCGTGGAGAAGAATAAATATTGTAGTATAATAATGGGTATTCAGTTGCTTACAACTTAAAACCATAATAATAATTATTAAAGTGAAATAAATGTACATAATTTATATAAATGAATTCATGTTATTCTGATACGATATTTTCTTCTCTTTTTATTCAAATACATTTAACTTAAACCATAAATGTCACTTATTTATATTGTTTTCTCCGCCTAGAACCTCTCTGGGGCTACTGCCGGTCTCAAGCCCGGAAAAGGAGGAGGGTTGGGCACGGCGTTAGCGACCCCATCCTGTAGAAAACTAACTCGCTAAAAAGACGCTAACAAGTAAATAAGTAAGTAAGATAAAAATAACACATGTGAATTCCAGGATAACAGTTAATGACAGTTCATGAAAAAAATTTACTGAAAACCAGGATGCATTGGATAAGTTTTTTGATCATAATTTGGAATTTATCATCATACAGTGGGATTGGGATCAGAATGATAAAGGTTTTTTTGAACAATGAATTACTGCTGGGCTATCAATTTAGTTTCATCAGTTTATATATACAACAACAATTTTATGGGTTTCTTCAATATTCGGTCTGGAGATTCGCTTTGTGAAAAATTAGTTACTTAAAACAATAAATCACTGTTTAATTTAATAGACTGTATTGAGATAGTTTCCATTAATTAGAGCTAAATAATTGGTAATCTTAGAAGGTTGATCTTTATCATAAGAAGAATAGACTATGTATACAAGATCATAGTATTCAATAAGAAAGGCAGATACGTCATTTGCTTAGTTTCACTCAATTATTATGTAGATTTCTCTCATATATTGCCGACCTGTAACATTATTACAATTGGTAAACATCAACAACACAAAATAAGACTGCTTACGTCTATAAAACATGCAGCTAATTTTGACAAAATTTGAACAGATATTAATTCGTTACCCAAATAATATATCAGTTCACCAATAATCCATACAAGCGATTCTAAATTATTTTCACCTGATAAGTCTGTAAAAGTAAATTGATGAAACTAAAAGTTACGGAAAAATGAATGTTAATAAAATGACATAAAATTTCCAAAAATAATTTATTTCCTTCAAATTTAAAACATTTTTGATGGCAGGAAAAATGAATAATCAAATTTTATTTAAATCGTGAACCTATCTGTGTTAGATCTCCCTCAATGACATTTCACATGTGTTCACCAAAGACTAGCCTCGAGAGGAAATTTCCGGCATTCTAGTGAGAAGCCGTGACCAGTGGAGGTAATCTGTGTTGGGTTTAAGGCATATACTAATCGAAGACAATGAAAGATAGTCGCGCGATGTTGTGGACTAATTGAAGTTAGTTATTAGCACCGCTAGATGCCGGTTCACTGATCTACAGGTCAAGTATTCGCGCGCGAGACTGAAGAACCCGGATTAGGTCCTCACATATGGATTCGTGGATGAGCACTACTGAGAAGTACCGTACTAGGACGAAACGGCCTTCTTGCGCTTCCAGACTTTAAATGATGGTTTTCTTAAATCGGTTTATGACTCAAATGAAGTTCAACAATCTTCAGAGCTCCTAACTGATCAGTAATGAAATGGCTGTCCAAATCGCATATCTCAACTTTAAACTCATTGTTAAAACGTAGCAGAAAGTTATTTAAGTAGTTAAACAGAGATTTATGTGCTAAATTTGTTGGTCAAATCATAAATAATGACTAGCAAGCAAGTAAGTATCATCTAAATAAATCATGCACTTCCACAAATCCTATCCTAAATACCAATTTTACGCTTTCATCACTGATAGAAATCGACTTATTAATCCTATATGTGATACAACTGAAGGTGACGTTATTGTTAGACGTATGAATCAGCACTGAAATATTGTGTTTCTTTATTCATTTTAAATAAATAAGAAAGGTTAGCTCGTAATTAAGCCGTGTCTATTATTCTTAGTGAAAAATTTCTAACATAATGAGACGTCAGTGCCAGGTCAATCATTTACTTACTATTTATATGTATTTTTAATTAGAAAAGTGAGACTAGTGTAATGAAATAAAACATATTTGTGTATTATTCACAAAACAGCACAAAATATCTGAATATATTTACAAGCAAGTAGTTGAATCTAGATTGATGGTTTATCAAGAAAATAAGAAAAACTAATCTCAGTGATTTGAATCTTGTTTGAGTCCGAGTTTTTTCAAATATGCTCATGATATGAATGTTTTTTGTAATTATCATCCTGAAAAATAAGTATATATTTGCGATTGTGCAGTTTTGAAAATGAATTCGCCAAAAAGAGAACTCTTCGTTGAACCAATCTTTCTTATTTAGTGTCTTAATGAGTGTATTCCGTTTACTAAAATATTCTTTAAGTTAACCGTTTTTTGTACTTTTATACGGATTACGTAGACTGACACTACCAAACCAACATATGCTTTCCTTAGAATGACGTTATGAAATAGAGCTTATTTGTAAAAAAATTATGTTGTTATCTGTCAAGCATTGCACTTATACATGGGTGTAAATAACGTCCACCGAAAACAAACATGATCAAGGAATGTGAAATAATATACCGAAATTAAGTTTACGTTTTAACTTCATCGATGAGTTTTTGATTCTACATTTACTGAAATGATCGTTGCAGTATATGTTAATTTACTATAGGCTAAAAGAAAGTGCTACTGAAGAAGATTCATTGTGCTTAAAATAAAAACTAAAGCACTCAGTAGAGGGTTTCAGAATTAACAATCGGTTGCTTAGGATGACAATATTTTTAGTCTTAATCAGTGACTATATACATTAATTTCATGAATATGTTCAGCATTTGAGATGAACGGTGATGAGTTTGAGTGTCGAAATGAACATCAATACCGGGATCCAGGTACATCTGATTTAGGAATTTAAACGACGGTCCTGAATTCTATTGATAATCACATTCCATCTATTTGGCAAAATATCCTGGCTGTATCTAGGGACTTCTCACAGAATATACATATGATAACTTAGACTGATCAAAATTCACTCAATATTATCAGTTTGTCAATTCAGAAAACAACAAATTACAGAAACTCACACTGGTGGTTTTTATTAGAAAACTTAAGCATTTCAGAACAAATTTTTATAATCTCTTTAAAACTAACCATTGAGTTGGCTGAAACTGTTGGAAATATTTGGCAAATCACTCTGAAATAAAAAGTAAAACAAACTTAATACTGATGATCGAGAAGTTGAACGGTTAAAGTATATTATACAGTGTAAATTATTGCTAACCAGATATTAAATTATGATGTGCAGTAGACGAAATTTTAGACTGACAACGTTGGTATATTTTACTCGTCTTATTTAGCCATTATGTCAAATATTAACAGTAGTCTAACATCTATCAGAAGTTGCATTTTTGAATAAATCGGTGATCTTCAACTATTACTAAGACACTTTTTACAAACTTCTGAAATGGTAGTCAACATGAGAGCATTTGAAACATATAAAACTAATTTTTACCGAGAACGTAATGTAGACAAAACAGAAACTCAATAATAATCAAAGTGATCAGTAGGTATAATGTAATAATTGTTATCTTCAGTCCTCAATACCCATAAATCTTGTTTGGATAACTTACTATTTGATTCAACAACAAAACTTTACCCGTTTTTTAATGCTTAATTTGTTGTCCCGTCACTAAAGTATATTAACGAGGAGTTCTCTAAAAGTGTTCCGTTGCTTTTAGGACCCACCTTCTTCAGTTTAGTTCTGGAAGGCATTGCTCGATAATTCTAAACACAGTGAGTTTGTAAACTTTAACTAACCAACGAATTTATACACTAATAAGATACAAAATTATTGATAATAATTTGATCTTCCGTGTTAGTTAAAGCTCTAAAACTTGTGTTAAATTCTGCTGGACTAAAAACAAGTATATAGACAGTATATTGATAATTTCTCTAAAACATCCAGCCAAAATAATTGGAGCCTGATAAATAATATACTGTAACTATACATACTAATTAAACTACTCGTTCGTATTCTAAATCTCGTATCAATTTTTATCAATAAATATATGTACTTTGTATATTAGAAAACCTATTATGCATAGTAATCTTTTACCTAAACATATTGATGACTAGGACGTTAGATTTGTTTCTGTATTTTCGCTGAAATTACCTTTTATTACTTAGATATGTGCTAGTTTACGCACGTTATTTATTGACTAAAAAAGCAGTTTTCATACGGTCAAACATGTAAAGTCGTTTGCCGACTCTTTGGAACATCACAGGTGTATTGTTTCTAGCTTGAATACATGTAAATTTAACTTACACTATTTTCTTTTGCGCATTTTTTGGACTGTAGGTGATCCAAAGCTCTTTGAGCAAGTTCATTCAGTTTTATTATACTTCTCTTCATTGTCGTGTTATTACTACTAAAATTATAACTTGTGTTAGCTATATTAAATGCATTTTCATGGGAACAATCCAATTTTGCAGTTAATGATCTAACACCATCTTCAAATGATGAAGATTTATTATTATTTTTGCCATTTTCGTGAAATTTATCAACCAGCATAAATGAATTGTGAATAATTTGCCATAATGCAACTAATAAATGAGAGTTTTGTATTGAACCAGTAAATATATCTGTAGTATATGTTGGAAATGCCAAACACAGAAGAAAACTGAAAAAGAAACAATACATGCTTTTTTGAACTTACGTCTTAAAATGACTTTCGGTCATGTTTCGAGATTACTAAACATATGACACTAAGGGAAGTACAATGAAGACATCTATAATAAATGCATCATAGTTTTGTAGCTAGAAAAAATCATACGAAATTTAGTTTCATTATGTAACGGAGTCAATTCGGTGACTAATGAAGTGCATAACATCAGGAAACTACTTCATTCTATTCAGCAGTTCATAAACTGCAGCTTCCCATTAGGGCTGGAAAAGTGAGTCACTAACATTGAGCTAATAATCATCCTAATGAGTGGTTTCAGGAATTCGACTTGAGGAAGTAAACGAATAAGAGTGATAGAATCAGTAATATCACTTAAACTTGATTTCCAAAAATATATGGAACTTTAGATTCAGAATAAAATGTTCAATCAATTGTTTCCAACATCCTAGCATCAACATACAGTGCATTACTGAAAATGTTAGCCGCATTACAATTGGATTGATGAAAATCAGTCAGGACTGATGATATTTATTAATACTGAAAGACTCATTAGTATGAAAGAAGCAAATGTTAACTCATTTAAATAGCCAAATTCAGATAACGTTAACTTTGAGTTATCGAGATTTACTGTTACCGAAATCTGGCTAACGGTATTATGTTATCAGAATAAAATTATTATATAAACTATGTTACGACCAGTTTTTAATTTATTCAGAAATCCTCAATGTAAAAAAATGTTCAAAGAATATGTGAGTTAAATGTTTACTTAGTTGGTTGCTAGCTCAATGTCAGTATAAGACGGTATAGAAGTTATTATTTAAGTCAGAAGAATCGGTGGAATAGTTCACCAAGTACCAAGTGTCGACTAAATAAAAATTCTAATGTTAGATAATTATAAAATATTTATATTTCAACACATCAGTCATTTTAAACTCATCCGATTGTATATTCTGTTTTCAGACCTACTTAAACATCCATATATCATGGAATACTAAGTCATAAAACGTGATATACACCAACCATTCAAATACTTTAACAACAATATCAACAAATGACCCACGTAAATTTTAGACACAACACAGTGGTAATCGGAAGGTGTATGAAACGTGCTAAGGTTTTATAAAATAACAAGACTTGTCTAGATAAATGTAGCTCATTGAACATTATTACATACACCTAAATTCAATGAAAAACTAACAATTTTCATATGATTAGCATCCATCATCTTATGACTTGACATGTGCAACGTATTTAAAAATAAGGGTGGTAAATGATAAGAACGTTTCGGGTGTAGCAAAGATATTATAGTTGTACCTAATGAAATGATTACAATACCAAATAATTTTGTGTTGTCAGAAATACCATTTACAAACGGACATAATTTGACTTCTAAGTTTAGTACTGCATCTTCGAATTCAGAATAGTTTTTCGAATAGCTATGATGTATAAAGCTACAACGTTCAACCGTATATAATTTAAAGGCCTTGTAATGCCAACGAATCCTGAACTGGTAGTCCTTAGTGGTATTCTAGCTGATTTCACTGTTTAATGCAAACTAGCTTTATGTAATATATATCATAAAAGTGAAGTTTAGTTACAACCTTAACTTGAGTTGTTACTGAAGTCTTGTCGCTAAAAAGAAGTCGCTCATGTGAACATAGTTACAAATAGTTTTTTATTACCCGATTGTATTCAACTACTGGACTCATAACAATGAAAGCTCATTAATTTAAAATCATACTATCATTTAACATGTAAAGTTGAGTAGCTAGCTTTTTGATATTTGCTTACCATGGATGAAGTAAAATGAATTCTAGGTTATTAAGTATTATTTTAACACCATTAAGATTATTGACTATACAAATCATTTCAATTTGAGTAATAACTAAACGTGATAAAAACCCATATGTTACAGGGTAATTTGGTTTTGTTACTAAATAATTCATAATTTCAGTAAGAAGTAATATATGACGCGTATATGCGCAATTATCTGATGATAACTGACTGTTTGAATTATTAACGTCATTGTTAGTTAAAAGATCATTGAATTTTAAAGCGATACGATAAATGTCAGGTACTAGTTGAAGAGATGCTCTTAATGAAGACGGACGTTTTATTGTAGTTGGAATTACTGCAGTATTATTATCATTTATTTTATTTAAACTTTTCTTCGCATTTGTAAATTGATTATTAGTGAAAAAAGTGTTTCCAGATTGTGTCAGAGAAAGAGCTGCTTCAATTGTACGACCAATTCTTTTAAATGTAATTTTGGTTTTGATTTATAAAGATTACTTTCAATTAGTGATAAAGAGTAGTTTGACAATGGTTGATTAGATGTTTTGAAACAATTTGAAGATGGTGACGTGATAAAATGTTTGACAGTGTGTTGTCTTGTTCACTTCCAGTGGACCATTTAAGGGCTGTAGTGATCAAAGGAAGATGGATCCCAGTAGAACCATTATCTCCTGAAAGAGATTTGATAGAAGGCAAAAAAAATCCATATTATTTTTATTTTATTTTAACACAGATACTGGTACAAGGAGGCACCAAATACATATGCGTCACACAAATCTCATTCGATATGTGTGAGGGCTGTGATGCTGCGCGGGTGCCCAAACTGAAGCAGGTGGTTTTCTTAGGAGGCCACACCCGGAGCCTTCGACCTGAAGGTCTGATCCACAAGGCAGTAGAGCATCGTAAGGGGATACAGTCCCATGGTTGTCGGTGACCAACGATTGGTTCATACGCCATTTTTTCCTTCAGGATCCTGGAGCCAGCCCATGTGCACCATTGGTTTGGAGTCAGGGTTTTCCAACTCCCCTAGGTGGAATCTCCATGTCCACCAACCCAGTTAAAGCGCCAGACATTCGCTTTTCGTCCTCTTAATTTCGTAAACAACACCCCCGCCACGAGAAGGCAGTGAGTAGGGCTTCTTCAGCAGAGACTATATACACGTGGCCGCGTGAGAGCATTTCGAGAGGGGGAGCGGACTCTCCTCATTCTCGGCCGTACCAGGGAATTTGGGGGCAAAAAAAATCCCATGTTGATAAACAATGTAGAAATATCATGAACGAACGCAATTTTTAAGGTCTTTATTACGAACCAACCTTAGTTAGACTAGAAGTGAAAACCAGGATGCTCTGGACAGCTTTTTCACTCTAGTATAAGACTTTCCAAAAATGTTCATCCATAATCACGCCAGATATTGAACAAGGAGCCTTAGAGCAAGCACCTAGAATTTAAACTACTGATCCAGCATTCGTTGGTTTATATTTCTAACTTCAACCGATTCGGTCTATCGCTCAACCATTTTCCTATGTTACTAGTGGATAACTATCATACACTCGACATGATTAAACGTTTTTAATCACAGCTTCTTATTAGAACTTGAGTACTCACCTTTCGAAATTAATCACTAGTGAGAAAATGAATGGCGGAATGTTACGCGACATCTCGGATTGATTGGAGGTCCTGAGGTTTATCCATGACGAGGTTATAGATGCTAACTATTGGAAAGAACCGAACACATGTTCAGTGTTTTCAGATTTTCATAGCTTGTCACTTTAATCTAAACTGTGAAGTACGACAATCTCTTTTAGCTTGTATACTATGGAATTTCGCTTTTATCTAGTTTAATACATTGGCGTATTTTTAATACTTCTCCGTAATCGAATACTTTAACATGTTCGAAACATTAATTTATCAACTACTCGTTCCGTTTATCTTCATTTTTTATTCCATGCTTAAGTCGGTACTCACAGTTATCTATCGATATCATTATTAAATGTAAATGAATCTTGTATAAATCGTTGGTTCACTCTTTCTTTTGTTCTGTCTCACAGATTTTTCCATACACGCTTTTCTGAATGCCTCATAGTGGATAACGTATGTTTAGAATAGTCTCATAACTATGAAAGGCTAGACGTTACAATACTAAACAATAAAGATAAATTATGTTAGTAAAAGTTGCACTATATTGTTAGAATATGATGTACAATAATCACAATAACAGTGCATGTTTCCGATGAAGTAATAGGTCATTTAAGACATTATTAATTCACTGATGACATTCATGAAAGTACTGTGAGACAATGCCAAATCAAATCTTAAAGAAGCTTTATTTTTTTAAAAATTCTAAGAAAAAATTATCCTGACGAAAGCTTACAAAAGTTTTTATAAATCTTTAACTTGGTGTAAACTATTTAACTAGTGAAAATTTTACATTTAATACTTTGCTCTGATACATCACCATATATATCCCCTTATGATAATTCTCAAATCATCTTCAGTTACAAATGATAAAGATTTCATCCCTCTTCAACTTTTCCGTGTCAATCATTTAACATCAAAGCTTATTTTGATAACAAACTTCACTTACGTGTCGCATAAAATGAAGAGTGTTAGCTAAAGTTGCTTACAAGTCGTTAACAAGTAAAAATACGCTAGGATATGCAGAACATAAGTTTAAAAACTGGTCGTCCTCTTGAATGCCGTTTTGTTGTTCTTAAATTTGCCACAGGATTCTAGTGAACTTCATCCTAATAATGTTTCTGTTGAATAGTTACGATATAGGTGAAGTTAGTTTAAAAATATTTATTAGGAACAAAAGCATGATTTTATTTTACATGAATCCCACCAATTGACAAAATAAACTACATGAAAAGAAGGAAAGCTGCTCATTATCAGTTTTCTTAAGTAGAAATATCGCTAAATTTTTGGCTCATTCATTATAAAGTGAACAAGATGTTAGCATAAAATTAATTAAAAACTCAATTATGCTTTGAGAAATGTTAATACAGACTGAGAAGTATGTGAATACATTTTGAGTTCATATCCACTTAATTGTATTGTCACTACAAATAAGTTAGCAAGTCTGAACTGATTGTTTTGGGAAGTAACTTAATAGGAAAATTGCCTCGACTGAGCATAGTTTCAAGTTAATGAAACAGCTGTCCACTAGTTAAATGAAGCTAATCCATTTAGTGCAGTTTACTTATGATTAATGAAAATAATGTATGACCAATTATACCTATTTGTTTTAGAAAGAGCTATTTCGATCATCGATTTCAACTGAAATGTTTTCTTAATGAATCTGTCGTAAATGAACCAAATAATGGTGTACATTTAGATTTTATAGAAAAATCGACATTATATTTTATATAAGTTGAAGTAACGAAAATCCCAATACAAATATCAGAAAAATCAAGTTGGACGTATAAACCATGAAACAATCATCTTCAGTTTACGGTTACATTATATGTTTCATATAAACACTTACGTGCAAGTAACTGTCTCACTACTGAATATATAATTTCATGATTAAATTTTAAATAACCATCAAGATTTGTCTGATGTAAAACTCCACCGTCTGTCGTTTGAGAAAATGCACCAGCACGATGTAAAATACGCAAACAATAATAACCCAATAAAGGTGAATGCATGGCCATTACTGTAGATGGTAATATTGACTGAATATCAAAGTGTCTTGGTAAGTTAATATTATTTAGAACATGTAGAACATCTTGAAATTTAAAACCACTATTTTCATCTTCTTCCTGGTACATGATATCGTTTGACCAAGTGAATCGAAAAGCAGCCACCAATGTATGAAATACTAATCCAACTAATCCTACTGTCCAATCTACAGAATTGGAAATCACTAAATATGAAAGGTGTTTCAATGTATATAAAATTTTACATTTAAAAAACTGTATGAAAAACTAAAAGCAATATCTTCCTGGAAAGAATTCGTCATCGATTTTGGCATCCAGTTAATCGTACATCTAATTCAAGATTAAAACTAATTTTACAAATTAACAAGTCAGACAAAATCCTAAACAAGATAGGTTAACAATATTTTATTAGTGAACTACAGCACACAAACGATTAGTCAAGTAAACAACCATACATTCAACGATGCAGAACCTCATATATTTCTGTAGAAATAATGCGGCTATCGGTACTGAATTTACCTAAGGAATCACGGGAAATTCACTGTCGATGGGGATTTGTTCCTTGCCGTCATGAGATACCTCGGTAGTAGGCAACCAAAAGCCTCACAGTAATAAAAACCAGAAACTGTAAGGCTCCCGATGAGCTATTAAACACAATAGGATAAGTACAACCGTTCACTGATTTCAAGTAAAGAGAAGATATAATGAAGATTATCAGAATAGTAGGCCAAATTCAATAAATGATTAAAAAACTATATTTATTCATCAATAAGCGCACGGTCCAGAGTGTCAGAAGGTTCTGGACCGCAAGATGCATCATCATAAAGAATAGATCTCTATCGAAACCCTGGCCACGATTCAAGAGAAGAACTGTTATGTCCCCGTTATCTGTCCTGAGACCAACAAGTCTCCATCGTCCACCTAAACGACTCTCTTCTGTGCCTAGACACCCAACCTGAGCATTCAAGTCTCCGGCTAGTACTACAATATCTGTCGAACGCACTTTCTGGAGAAGAACAGATAACTGGCGGTACAAGACTGGCGTTGTTTACAAAAGTCTGGGAACTAGAGAGTGTACCAACGTCATGGAATGAGTCGATAGTTGTCCCTATCTTTAAAAAGAGTTCACGTCGTTCCTGTAACAACTATCGGGGGATAAGTCTACTTCCGATTGCGTTCAAGCTATTGGCTTCCGTCATACTTCGTAGGTTGTTCAAAACCCGAAAAAGATTGACTCGTGAGGAGCAGGCTGGGTTTCGTTCTGGTCGAGGATGTATTGATCATATCTTCACCCTCCGCCAAATGTTAGAACACCTCCATACTTATCAAAGGCCAACAATCGTAGTGTTTCTTGACATCAGGGCTGCCTTCGATTCGTTGGATAGGACTGTTCTCTGAGATTGTCTATTGAAGAAGGGTGTGCCTGAGAAGTTGTTTAACATCCTAGAAGCCCTATATACAAACACCTCAGGCAGAGTGAGGGCATACAACCACCTCTCTCCATTGTTCCATTCGAGCAGTGGGGTTAGACAGGGTTGCCCAATCTCACCATTCCTCTTCAACTTTGCCATCGATGACATTCTGGAAACAGCTCTGATGAATGTAAGTAATGGTGGTGTGGATCTGTTGCCTGGAGAAAGACTTCTCGACCTTGAGTATGCGGATGATATTGTCTTACTGTGCGATAATGCCCAAGGCATGCAATCCGCACTTAATCAGTTGGCAATCAGTGTCCGTAGGTATGGTATGTGCTTTGCACCTTCGAAGTGCAAAGTACTTCTACAAGACTGGCAGGATTCCAATCCTGTACTCACCCTGGATGGTGAGCAGATAGAAGTAGTCGAGAAGTTCGTGTATCTGGGTAGCTGCATAAGTGCTGGTGGGGGTGTGAGTGATGAGATCAATGCACGTATAGTGAAAGCCAGAGCGGCTTATGCCAATCTGGGCCACCTTTGGCGCCTTCGTGATGTTAGTCTGGCTGTAAAAGGTCGGATCTACAACGCGTCGGTGAGAGCAGTTTTGCTCTATGCTTGTGAAACCTGGCCTCTCCGAGTTGAGGACGTTAGACGACTTTCTGTGTTCGATCATCGTTGTCTCCGAAGGATTGCTGACATCCAGTGGCAACACCATGTCAGTAATGCAGAGGTTCGGCATCGTGTGTTCGGGCACAGAGATGATAATTCAATTGGTGTCACCATCTTGAAACACCGACTTCGGTGGCTTGGACATGTTCTACGAATGTCGTCCCAGAGAATTCCACGTCGTGCATTATTTGCCGACTCTGGGACTGGTTGGAAGAAGCGGAGAGGTGGTCAGTGCATGACATGGTGTCGTGGTATGAAAGAAAGCTGTAAAGGACTGGCTTGTGTTGGTCCTTCACGACTCCCTGGCTGGGGTCCGAGAGATGGTGCAACACAGTGACTAGAGACGTTATCAGATATGGCTCAGAATAGAAGCCAGTAGCGATCCTGCTGTAACCTTCTTTTACTTTCTTCATTAAAAAAATGGTTGTATCTTCCTTAACTGAAGGATTTCTTCTGATTGTACCTTTCTATTCCCCCATTATTACCACTATTATTATTACACTACCTTACACCAATCTCTTCCTTATTGTTCTTTTTTTACCCTCCTTACCGACAAGAATAATGGATGGTAACTTTTGGGATCTATTGATGGACCAATACTAAACGTATATTTCTATTATATGATTATTAAGTAACTAAACTATGCATATTCATATTCCTCTTATTATAAACTTTATTTTGACCCATAAACTATTATTATAAGTTTCACTATTCTTGAGTTATACCCAGTATATTAATTACTACCTCCCTCATTCACAGACACTTCTAGCTAATTCATGTACAAATGTTGTTTCATATTTTATTGGTACGTTGTGGTCTTTTTGATTGGGATAAAAACTCAGTATGTTTGAAATATAATGATTCATATTGCAGAGGCTGAGACTGGTGTTGTGGACTTAACTTGCTGGGCTAGGCGGAAAGCAGGACCAATCAAGACTCTAGGCTGATCATACGTGTTTTACGCGTCCTTGGTCCGATCGATAATTCGCTGCTTCTGATTGGCGGCTTTGAGCTATTACAAGAACAAGATAGCAAGTAACAACAGTCGAACAAGAGAAGAAAAAGACAAGACACAGACCGGACACAGCAGCGAGTAAAGAGGAGCATTAGAACTGGCGAGTTGAAATACGTGGATGACTTATCAATGACAACAGAAGAAGCTGCAAGAGAAGGGATTATGAGACAACTATGTAGTACAGCGAAGAAACTAGCAGGGAAATATAGTAATCCAGAGCCACCAGTCAAGGGCAAAGAAGGCAAGCTAACTACTGAGATTCAAGAATAGAGGAACAGGTGGGTACAACACTGAAAAACTCTTGAATAGACCAGACCCACTGAACCTACCGGACATCGAAGCAGCACACACAGACCTTTCTATAGATTTCACTCTTACCAGAATACGCCAAATAAATCTTTCCTGAGTAATCATTTCCAGTCGTTTCCTGTTGTTATCTATTCTTTTGATGCTTACCTCCAAGTCCCGACGCAAGATATTCATTGGTCTTCCTCCTTCCTATTCGCTTCAGGATCACAAGTTAGGACTCGCCTCATATTGCGGTTTGATGATTTCTGCAGTGTATATCCTGTTCACTGCCAGAGTCTTTCCCTATTTCCTCTTCATCTGTGCGTTGGATTATTCTCTGCCATAGTAGGTTGTTGCTGATGGTATCTGGCCAACGGACCTTGAGTTTCTTGGGAAGGCAACTGTTTATGAATACTTGTACTTTTTTGATAATGGTTGTAGTAGTTCTCCACGCTTTAACTCCATACAGTAAAACTGACTTGACGTTCGTATTATAGATTGTACCTTTGATGTTCACTGACAGTCTTTTTGAGTTCAATATGTTCTCCAGCTATAAGAATGCTGCCCTTGCTTTTTCTAATCCCTGACTTTACGTCTGCGTCTGATCTCCCTTGTTCATCAATGATGCTACCCAAATACATGAAACTTTCCACCTCTTCCAGAGTTTCTCCATCAAGTATTGCTGGGTCGGTGTACTTTGTGTTGTGTTTGAGGATATTTCTCTTTTCCTTGTGTATCTTGAGGCTTAGTGATGCGGAGGCTTTTGTTGCACTAGCTGTCTTCACATGCATTTGTTGGAGATGAAAGCGCCAGTCATCTATAAAGTTCAAATCATCTAGTTGCATCTATGCTGTCCATTGTATTTCGTGATTCTCCTCAGATGTGGAGGTCTTCATAATACAGCCGAGCACCACAAGAAAGAGGAAGAGGGAGAGTAAGCAGTCTTGTCTGACTCCGATCCTCATTTGAAATGTATTTTTCAACTGTCCTCCATACACGACTTCGCATCGCAATCCGTCGTATGAATTCCGACCGATGTTGACGACCATCACAGGTACACCATAGTGTCGAAGAGGGTCCCATAATGTTTCCTATCCACACTATCAAGGGCCCTCTCATAGTTAATTAAGTTGATGTGATGAATTACATTCAATTGTTTGTTCAACGATGATCTGTAGTGTCGCGATTTGGTCTGTGCCCAACCGATCGTTACGGAACCCGGTTTGGAAGTTGAGTGTCTACTGAATCTTCCATCCGGTTCAACAACATTCTGTTGAAAAACTTTCCTGGTGCTGACAGTAGTGTGGTGCCTCTTTAGTTTTTACATTTACTCAGATCTCCTTCTTCGGTATCTTGACGTGGTGTCCTTTTTCCATTCTGTCGGGACCTGTTCCTCCTCTCAAATCTTCCTGAATGTAATGTAGAGGATGTTTGCATTTAATTCTGTGTGTGACTTCAGTGCTTCATCTGTTATGTTGTCAGGTCCTCCTGTGGTGTGTGCTACCTATATTGACATAAGTAGTATATGATGTTAGTCGTAAACAGAAGGTTTGGAAGCAGAGAGACAAGAGGATCGAACAGTAAAGAATGGAAACAAAATGCAATTTGTATGAAAATGCAAGAACAATGTAGTCTGAGTCATTTTGAGACAATCGATGGACATTTTGCAAATTAAGTATTTACTTTATGATTGTTAGATTTTATTAACAAGTCCTGCAATTTTGTGTTGAATACATCCGATTGTTCCCCACTGGTGTCCTTGTTCACTACACTCCCACCTTCCTACTCTTGATTTGCCTGGTTGCCGTACCGATTTCTTCGATCGTTGGTGGAGTGGCGTTTATTGGGAAGGTCTGCGTGTGCTGCTTCGATGTCCGGTAGGTTCAGTGGGTCTGGTCTATTCAAGAGTTTTTCAGTGTTGTACCCACCTGTTCCTCTATTCTTGAATCTCAGTAGTTAGCTTGCCTTCTTTGCCCTTGACTGGTGGCTCTGGATTACTATATTTCCCTGCTAGTTTCTTCGCTGTACTACATAGTTGTCTCATAATCCCTTCTCTTGCAGCTTCTTCTGTTGTCATTGATAAGTCATCCACGTATTTCAACTCGCCAGTTCTAATGCTCCTCTTTACTCGCTGCTGTGTCCGGTCTGTGTCTTGTCTTTTTCTTCTCTTGTTCGACTGTTGTTACTTGCTATCTTGTTCTTCTCTCGAGTCGTGGCCAGGGTTTCGATAGAGATCTATTCCTTATGATGATGCAACTTGCGGTTCAGAACCTCCTGACACGTTGAAGTTGACGCTTCTTTGACCCTTTTCCAGTTGTCCTCCGTAGTAGTTTAGCAAATCCTGTGGGACTTGGAGCCTATTACTGAACGGTATCTTGAACCCAGCGAGTTTGTCAATATGTCTAATGTAGGCTGAATTGGATCTTGTTGAGGCTAATGTCCTCAATATCTGACTCCAATAAATGATATCCCGTAAACTGAGTATTTAAGGTAGGCTTAATCTCCTAGTGGAATTACGGATTTACTCGAGATTATTGAGAAGCCTGAACACCAGTTGTAGAAATAATTTATTGTTAATGATTAATAAAAATCCGCAAGCGTACAGCGAGCAAGCACACGATGAAACAAAGTGAGTGAGTGTGTATGTGTGTTAAAAATCCATATATTTTTTGAGAGTTAATCGAGTGTGGATAAATTATCGATTATCTGCACATTGCAACCAATAGGAGGATAGCTTAAGGGTTAATGTACAGACATGCATTCGATCATACACACCGAAATTAACATAGTGAGTTAAGAGTCTGAAATGCACACAGAAATTAACATGATGCATTAAGTGTCTGAGTTACAATGAATAGACAAATGATACAGTGGCCAAATGGGTTTGCCACATTCTGTTTCCTTAGTTGTCCAGTGCTACTTCAGCTTCAGTTTAATCTTGACAACCACCAGGTGGTGATCTGAAGTTATGCCAGCTGTTCTCTTGATTGTCATGTCTTTCATTAGTCTTCTGGACGTTTTAGTGCTGTAAATATGACCGACCTTGTTCTCTATAGAGTGATTAGGTAAGACCAATGTAGCTCTATGTATTAATTTGTGGGGCAATATAGTGCCACCTTTAACCCTTTTGTTGAATGCACATAAATTCTCAAATCTATCTCCATTCTCGCTTCTTTCTCCCAGTCAGTCAATATCGCCCCGTGATATCTTCATACTCGGTATTGTCCATTCCGACTTTGGAGTTCAGGTCTCCTATCAGAATGGTCAGGTCCTTTCCTGAACACTTCGCTATGATCGACTGCGACCTCTCATAAAAATGATTTTTAACATCTTTATTGCTATCTTTGATGAGTGCATAGCATTGGATAGCATTCATTTTGGTTTCCTCCTTCCTTGTTTTGAACGATGCTTTGACGAATGTGTATCCATGAGATTCCCATCCTATAAGTACTGTTCGTGCTTCTTTGGACAGTATCAGTGCAACGTCATATGTGTGCGAGGCAGTTTCTTCCTCATGACCAAAGCAAAATAGCATCTCTGTCGAATCTAATCTTTTCTGTCCAGTTTAGGTCCAACGGGTTTCGTTGATTCCGAGCACCGCCAAGTTGTATCTCTTCATTTCTGCAGCTATTTGATTGGTCTTTCCGGTCTCCAACACTGTCCGGACATTCCATGCACCCATATTATTTATTGCCGTGGTTGTCAGAAGTGACATAGGACTTGTGAGTCCCGAATAATCTTGAGTTTCACAGTGAGATGTCATAATTCTTCTACATGAAGATCCTTCAACTCCGAGAGCAAAATTTAAATTGCTTTTCTGGTTAGAGCTTGTTTAGCAAGATTTTTTTCTAGGGGATGAAGTTGCTGACCCAAGCCAACCCTCCTCTTGTATCCGGGCTTGAGACCAGCGATAACCATTGAAGCGCTATAGAAGGACCTAACTTGACTGTATCATATTTTCATTACCGATTGCACTGGTTTGTATTGGAACCAGCTGAAAACTTCATTTGAAGTAGCAATATTACTACATAAATTGTAAGTAACATTATTATTTAATACAAAATGAAATGAATTGCCACAATTTATTGCGCTAAACTAAATTTCAATATGAACGATTTCAAAATTAGAAGTTTGTGTAATTGAGCTATTGATTGAGATCATAAACCGATTGATGTTAGACCACCGTTGGAAACCTGGAAGCAATGGACGACCGTTTCGTCCTATTGTAGGACTCCAGTGCTTCCAGGTTTCCAACGGTGGTCTAACATCAATCGGTTCATGATCTCACTCAAAAGCTTAATAATCTCCACAACCTCTATGCTGATAAATGAGTTATGTCATACGAGGAATATTTTCAATAATGCTACCTGACACAAAGAGGGCAAATTACTTTAGAAAAATGTGTTTGTACTCAATATGGTTATACTGTATATCAGTTTGGATTACCGTCATTCTTGGTGATTATGGAATTATCTATGTGACCGGAATCGCTATCTATCCATTATCATTTGTGTACAGTCGTTATACGAAATTATAACGTAGTATGAGCATCCAAACATTGTTTATCCATTTCCTTTTTCTGAAAAAACAAAACTTTCAGGCACCGAGGAGTAATCTGAAATTACGTATTGGAAGCATTTGTTGAACTCGTTAGTGTATTTTAGCTACATAAATCACCTAATTTTACTGTGAGTTTTTGTTTCCAAGTAACCGCATGTTTAATTATGCCGGAGGAAAAGTCTGTCAAACATAGGTGGAAGAATGTGGGCTGCAGCGGAATTACACTTGTGATATTCGGATTCATTTCGACAGTAACATTTACTGGGAGATATTAATAGTCTGAATTAATACACAGAATATTAAACGGCTACCAACTAGTATAACAGAAATTTAGGTATAAATTTGGGAAAAGTAGGGTGAAACAAAAGAGTAAGCACTGTTTCCTGGAGGTGATGGGTATTTGAATCATCCATACACAATTTTACTAAAATCAAACTACAACTTAGTAGCAACACAAACTAGTTAACGATTTGTGTTTATAAAAATTTTCAAGTACCTTATAGCTGTTATGATTTACAATAGAACAGATCCAACCTTAGTTCATGATTAAAATTTCAAGATATTCATCAACGGCTAAAAGTAGTCTACTCAAAGCCATAGCAGCGTGTGGAAGGGGCTTTGTGACTAAGTATTCAAAGTCAAAGCTTAAATAACCCCTTCCAGATCAGTCCAGTATCGTATCTGTATACGCACAACATGAATAAATATTTATTTGGCCTTTGGGAATACAGCTTTTCTTGCACTTCTCGTCTTCATACTCCGTATTGCTGGTTGAACAAGCATTACTAAAAGTGAACTGTGACTGAATCTAATCATAGTACGTAATATCGATGGTTCTCTGATAAATTTCTGTTTATGGCAAAATGCTACCCTAAATTCACAAGAATTAATGTTTTGAGGTATATCATTTCACTTATATGATTGAGTATACACACATCCAAATAAATACTATGTATTAAATTTACCTTTGGAAAGCTGTGTAGTAGATTTTTGTAGCAGAGTCTTGAAATAAATTTTATGTTCAGACATCTGCTTGTCCTCATTGTAAGTGGATAACGCAGAATATCCCTTGCTATTGTCCATTGGATTTCTTAGTGACAATTCTTCTTCTATAGTTATGATATTGTATTCAAACTCAACTGCCCATTGTTGTAATAAACATAATAATAATTGTCTTATTGATTGCGTGGCCAGTAAACGTTCTATGTAATCATCCCAGTTATAAATATCCTTGCGATTGTTGGTTGAGTCAAAACCGAATGAAGTGATGTAAAGTTCGTGAATAAATATTTTCTAATCAGAAAATAAAATAATCATTGTTAAAGAGATTACAAATACATAATTAATTAATTAGATATATTTTAAAGCTAAGATAGCTCGTTGATTTTGCAAACTACATGTATTAAATTATTAATGAACAGCTACTTCAATACATTCACACTTATTTATTGACTGAATTTGGATAATGTGATGAGAAGACGAAGGTTATCAGAATTATGTGATATGTTTGTTTTATAGACTGATATTCTAATATTTAATCAACTCGTCACTTACTGTACATGACACTTAAGTTTTGTAGAATACCGTTTTTACAAATCATTAAAATTGGCTATAAAAGTTGAAAATTGTCATGAACAAATCAACATTGACAAATTAATCTAAAATATCTAATTCACAAAATTTTTGCTTAAAATCAACTTAGATTTAAAGTAACTATCGTTCATTGATCTTGAATGAACCCTGAATATTCACATTGGATTTCTTGATATATTGTATGAGATTTTGCCACTAATAATATAAATAATTTATAGAAGGTAAGAGTAGGAAAGACGACTGTAATAGTACTCTTCAAATACGTATCAGTCGTATTTTAACCAAGTTGAACTATACTGCTGATATTTACTTTTCTTGATGTAATCAGTTTACTTACTCTGTAGATAAGGAGACAATAATTAAAAATAGTTTAGCAACTGAGGCTATCTGGTTTACGATAGAGCAAAATATGTAACTGTATGCATAATATGACTCTCAAAATAAACTGTAATTTATTTTTACACCTTAATTCAAAAACCGACCCAAATATCCCTTATCAGTAAGTCAACTCGCCCATCAAACAAATATGCTTTGGAGTAATAATACCTTAAATCAACAACTTGATTAACATGCATTAAAAAAACAGCAAATGATTGTTTTCAGTTTTTTACTGAAAATTTCAATTATTTTAACTTGCATGAGTGGTCATGTTAATAATTAGGTATTAAATAAGATTTTCATGAAAGATAAACATTCAATGTCGATAGCAATTAGATTCATTGATGTAGAGCATTTTTCAGCGTTCCCATTCTTATATGAATCAGCCATAACAATAAATAAACAGGTTGTACTGGAAAGATAATTTCTAAAATACTTGCCTTGGCTAGAGCATTTTCTTTTAAGCACCAATATTTATATAATTTATTGATAGTAGGATTTCTCAAACGATCTTTTACAATTTGTACACGATATTTAAGCAATGAATGTAAATTGAATTTCTGATTCATTTCTGCTTCTTCAATATGATTTAATGTATCATTGTTTAATAAAGGAAAAAACGAGGAAATCAAATCATACAGTTGATTAGTCACTGGATTATTTTCTTTTAAAACCTCATTAGTTTCTTCCAGATTCCCAATAGATGTTGGCAAAATTTTCATAGACATATTTTCTTTAAGACCCAATACACTTGAATATTCAATAACAGTGACAAGTGGACATTTGGCTAGTTGATGATTTATATAATGCGATGAAGAACAAGTTAAAATAAATCGAGTTCGACTAGGTATTATCGGTAGGCCACCACTATTAATTCCTCCATATTCATTTATATCGGTTTCCTTTGTACGTGGATGACAACTGAACAACCAATCAATGCATTTAACCTTTTAGTGTAGAAATTAGATACTATGAATTAAAAAACAATAAATATTTGTGTGTAGAAAAATAAATAAAAATATAATGTATACAGTTGATGTAATAGGCCTTATTTTGATTACATTTATATAACTTGACAGTTTTCTTGCAATAAATTGAGGTAACACTTATTGGTTATAAAACATGGCAAACTCAGTAAACTTTGATTTTCTCTGAGATTGTATTACTTGGCTGAGTTAATATTTTAGATCTTCGTATACGTTAACCTATGGCAATTTCTCGGCTACCCTATTCGATTATTTATGGTACTCGCCGTTAGAATGAAAGTATATATTCATTTTGTACCTGAAAAGTGACTCTCTTATCATAAAAATATAAAATTCCTGATTATCTGTGAATCTATTGCGATCACTCCTTAGAGAACTTTTCCAAGTAAAACTAATGAATAAAACTCCCAGAGGTGCAATCAAATAACTATTAGTTTATCGATGCTGCATAGATAGCCCTGTTAGTTTTAAAAAGAAAGTTAAAACAGAGCCATTTGGTTTACATTTCTAACGACAATTAGCTATTCGTTACATTATTATAAGATGGAGAATGAAGTAATAGCATCTTGTTTTAAATGTTTGATCAAGGGGATGATGGATGGATCATTCAAAAGAGGTTTATAGAGAAAATCGTCATGAAGGTAATATTCTTACTTCCAAGACTCTTCACCGCTAAAATACAAAGGAGGTTCAGTGAAAACCCTGACTTACTATGTTAAAGTGGTTTTGTGGGAAAGCACTAAAAAAGTATTAAATAATATCCGTAAACTTCTGAATCGAAATGAAAATCCGCCTAAAATCACCAATAAACAACTTAAGGCCGATGATAGTGACTGTTCCAAAGAACTCATTATTCTTGATTGGTACTATATTATCGTAAAACATATATTACGGTAGAATCATGATGAAGAACTAGTTGAAAAGAAACCTTTCACTGCTCTGTTCGCCTTTTTACTAGATAACTGAATAGAGATTTTCAGTTTATTCATATCTTGATTTAAATTTGATATGTATGCTAGTATCCTGCACACAACTTACAAAAATTACGTTTTTTACTAAGTACATGAAAATTACACATTAATAGCATTTGAACACAACTTTTAAAATAAACTATTGTAAATTCTATATCGAGTTTCTACAAGTTACATCATGATTATTACTTACTGCTTCAGCTGTTTCGGCCAGAGGATCTTCGAGGTATTCCAAGCCATCTATAATCACAATCACCGGTAAATCTGAACGATCATCATTTGAATTAGTCGGACTCAGCGATGTTAATAGTCGAGATCCAAGCTGACGAAGCTGGCGAGCTCTCTCAAAATCTTCTTGTTCACTAGTTAAACCCGACAGCAAAGTTGCCAGAGATGAATTTAGTTCACTGCCTAGTATTTTTTAAGTAAAATGTAAGTTCAAGTCATGAGTTCGTATAGTTATTTAAGCCGATATCTATTGTTGTTTCTCGTTATGTATGAATATATATACGTTATGTGTGCTTCACTCTACTCAACGTTGACAAACTTACTGTATGAGCATGTTGGCTGAAAAACTATAATTTATCAATTTGTTTGTCACACTCAGAAATGTAGAATATAAATGTTACATTTGGCTCCCCTTTTCTTTTTTACCATTACTGATTTTATTGTGATTAGTACAATCGAATAAAAATAAGTACACAATTAGTTATAATTAAGCACAAAAGTTAGTCAGTCATCATTAACGCAGAGCCTGGAAAAGATATGTCGCCTCTAGTTTCCAAACAACATTAGTACGACACAAAACTAGTGAAGGATTATAAATAGTGTATTAGAAAGGAGAAAAACTAAACATTGAGAATATGGCTAGAAAAAACTGAGTGGAAAGGTATATAAACACAAAAGCCAACGGCTAAAAACTATTATTAACCTCATACAGACTTATTTAATTCAATACCAAAACAATGTGAATAATTCCTTTAATAGAACAATATTTTTGACAATCGCTTCTGAAAAGAATACGAATAGTCTCTGTCACCAGTATATTTATCAAAGATTTTAAAATGCGGGTTTAATTGATAATTTGTGATAAAAGAAAATAACTAATAGAGAACTAATTACTAATAACAAAATGGTTTAAAGCTGATTTCTTCGTTACGTATATACTGCAAATCTTGTTGTCATCGCTTATATATTTTAAGTTTAAAAACTCTCTTGGTGGTTATTTGTCGAATTTCATTTTAAAAGCATAAGTACTGTAAATATGAAAATATACACTATTAAGTTACATCACACAGCTTGTCAACTGGACGTTGAACTGAATATCTACAGACATCCAAATAGTCATATTTAATGACCCACAATTGTCTAGTTATAACTAGCATGAACTTCTTCAGATCACGACTCTAAAGTTCCATGAGGATTACATAGACCCTAAGATACTGCTCATTTTACATGTGTAATAAGTTACGATGAAACTAGCCAGATCAGTTGTGGTCTATAAGTCTCTATTCGTCAGCTAGGTGTCAGTATAAAATAGCTCTAGTACATCATCCAAAACAAGAAACATACCAAAAATTTTGAAGTATTTTTCAATAGAAATCAATAGCAAAAATCTCAGAATGGTATTGAGAAATTATTCACTTCTGTATGAAATATGTGAACTGTTAGAACAGAACTAACATTTTGTATGAAGCTAATTTCAAAGCCACAAAAACGTTATTCACCTAATATTGATCAAACTCAAACTGTTAGAATTTCTTCATCCTGACGTATTATATATCAAGCTTAAAATGTGCTACTTTAATGATACGAAACATAAACTTTAAACATAGTTAAAAATAAATGAGTTATTTTAGGTATATCCTTCCTTAGTGTTATCGAAACGTATTTGTATGAATGTCACAAATTATAATCATCTCACAGGTTGAAATCATGAGTCAGTTGAAACTAGACCACCATTGAAAACCTGGAAGCACTGGACGGCCGTTTCGTCCTGGTATGGGACTCCTCAGCAGCGCGCATCCACGATCCCGCACCACGCGGGGCTCGAACCCAGGACCTACTGGCTTCGCGCGCGAGCAATTAACCACTAGACCACTGAGCCGGCATCCAACGGTGTTAATGTCTAACTTCAACCAATCCACGAAGTTGCGCCACCGTACACCATTGTCTTCAGTGAGTTGTTGTCTCACAACAGACCGGTTGAACTCCACTGGTAACGGCTTCTCACTAGAACTCCAGGAGTTTTTCCCGAAGTCAGTCACTAGTGAGCAGTTGATTATTATCAGAATGGGTTTTGTGGAGAGTTTTAGAAATTTCACAGGTTGAAATCATGAGTCAGTTGAAGCTAGACCACCATTGAAAACCTGGAAGCACTGGACGGCCGTTTCGTCCTGGTATGGGACTCCTCAGCAGTGCGCATCCCATAACAGGACGAAGCGGCCGTCCAGTGCTTCCAGGTTTTCAATGGTGGTCTAGCTTCAACTGACTCATGCTTTCAATCTGTGAAATTTCTAAAACTCTCCGCAAAACCCATTCTGATATAATCATCTGTTGAATGTATTCTTACATGTAAGACAATAAACGTACATTAGGTCATCAAGATTTTATTCCTGTCACTTAAGCACGATATCTAGAATATTAGTATGGAAATGAAAAGGACCAGTTTCCATCTGTTAGACTATCGCTACCAGCCAGGAAGTACTAGATATCTTTTTCATTTTAGTTCGAATTCTAGTAAAATTAAGTGTTGAGAAATCAAAACTCAATAACACCCTGGTTTCAAGCTTTTAAACTTCTTCAGAACATGACGAAGTATAACTTATATAATTTAGTTTAATCACACTAATTAGCTTCCGCTGAATTCACTGTAATTCAACATGCATAAGTTGCTTGAAAAATGTAACCCACTTTTATATCGTGCTGTTCTAGCCTTGCGATTTAAATCATCTATCAGCTGCCATATATCTGAGTTGCATTTGCCCGGTTCAATAAACTCTTCAATAAAAATGATATCTGATTCTGTTCTCAACGAATTATTTGTAGTTTCGTCGGCATCTGTGATTGTAATTAGTTCCTTAACTTTAATATCATCATTCATAATGGTAAAACCATAGATTTCCGCTTGTTCAACCAATTAGTTAAAAATCGTGTTTTGCCGACACCGGGTTGACCAGATATCAGAAGAATTCGATTACGAGACGAATCATGTTCAGACTTTTTAGAAATGTTTCTAAATGCAAAAGATGAATCTGAAGAGTAAATGCATTTATCAATGTAAAAACGCAGAATTACAACATTTATTGATTAAAGAAGAACAACTGAAAACTGAGTAATACGAAATAACCACTTTATTTAAGCACAAAACATCCAACAAAACGGGAATCAACTCAATCAGTAAAGTTTGTGGAATGTAAACAGATGAATTTTAAACATGTCTCGATAAAAACCTCCTCCTTACAAAATTTGAATCTCTTCTCTCAGATATTGTTTGAAGTTAATTTTATGTACTATCAACAAATGATTTGTCAACTGATATAATTGTATTACAAAGTTATTCTAAACTGTATTGTTGATATCAATATTGATAAGCCCGTAAAAAAGGTTGTAAAATCTTGCTTCATAAATACGGAAAGTCCTTTAACACTTTCTATTAACACAATCTCTAAACCAACCCTCAGATTTATAATTAGACACAACCAACAAAAAATGAGCAGATAGGGGTTAATTCTGAAAAATTAAATTATGGCTGCGATATAAGTTTGGGAAGTTGTAATTCACAATGATTATTATTCTATGTTCATATTTTTTTATAGAATGACTAATCAGCTTATATTTGTTCATTCTTTTTAGAAACAAATTTCGTAGATCTACTTTATATTACTTTATCTGAATCAACATCGTTATTTATTGATACAGGTAGTTTTCATTTTTCACAGTTATATGATTATACATGTCTGGCTAACTAGGTTATCATCAACTGTCCAAATACTGATCGAGTAGTTGTGGTATTTTTCCTAATTGATGATTCCTTTGTACCTGATTGTGCATTGATTACGAATTCTAAATGTAACACGTTCATTGGTGCCCATTTAGTTCTACCATCCTTAAATAACACTATTTCGGAAATCCTCAGTTAGTACATGAATTTGAATACTTCTAATTAACATAGTAGTCTATTTTTGTACCAACAATTATTAATGCAAACAATTTTACGGATAGAGCAAACAAAACTAGCATTTAATAAGCTTATTTATACTACCTTAGTCTCTGATCACTTCTTCTTAGTTTATAACTCCAATCTTCGAGTATATACAAATCTAATATGTTATCCACCGAAGGAATTGAATCATTTTCATCATTCAATGCTGACAAACAAAACCGATCTAAGACATCCTCCAACTTTCTGATATGCCCCGGCAAAACAAACTCTGACGCTGGTCCATGGTTTTCTTTGTCTGTAATATAATCACGATAATATTTGTAAAACTTACTGACAAGTACCAGGATTGTCTGGTTTATTTTAGTGGATACATCTTATGGAACAAACTGTAAATATAACAACTAAGCTAGTTGTATTGACGTCACTACGTTATTTATACGAGTCCAAGTAGTTGAAACGCATCACGGAGAAGTCTTTGTATATGAAACTGAAAACAAACTGATGTTCTTGTGGATTCTAAACTGTATTGTTGATATCAATATCGATAAGCTCGTAAGAAAAAGTTGTTAAATCTTGCTTCATAACGTTTACCAAGTGGCTATATTTGAATTCCATGATTGCGATAAGTTGGAGCTTTGAAAATGGAAAGTTTTGGTAAAAATCTATCCAGGAAAGTTACTTTTCTCGAAGTCGTTTGGCTCCCAATAAAATATGCTGAAATTCTGTAGTACCTTACAGTTATATCCTTTATCTTAAACAGTAACAGAACATTATTAGTTCCGTAGGAGAGTTCAAAGGGTACATTACTGCTCCCCAGCTGGGGTTCAAGAACTGGCTTAATTCACTGGCCTAAGAGATCATCAGACATGGCTCATAAAAGAAGTCAATGATGTACCTGCTGTTATTTTGTTCTTGTATTATTCACTAAAATACGAGAAACCCTTTTAACCAAAAAACTTCTTTCTGCTTGTATTTTATTTTAAACAAACTATTTGTTTTGCGATGACTTAAAGACTGACCAAAGACCATCGATCGTGTTCATACCATATCACGCAGTGAATTACTGTACAAGGCACCTACTTTGACAAATAGCTAGCTTAAATACTGTGCTAGGCAATAAACCGGCCCATAATTCAAATATAGCTTTTTGCCCATCAACCCTGACTTTGAGATAATTTCATTCTAAGATGTCCCATGAGCAATATTATCACGTTTTGCTCGTCTGACACCTCTTCAAGCACTTTTAACACCTGGAAATCAATCATCTCTTCATTACTTACAAAGTATTAAACAAATACTCCTTCGACAAGCAACTTCAACCACGAAATGATTTTGACGTAGTAAACAACGTGGCATTGTAATGATAATTTATGAATGAATCTTTTTTCTTTAAGTGAATGATCTTTTCATTAAACTAACGAACGCCAAACTAGAAACACTTATTTGTCCGTTCCTTACTTTAGGCACTGTCTACAGTCCAACGTTTAAGTTTGATAACAATTGTTTGCATTATGAGGAAGCAAGAACAAAATAGTCATCTGATAGACTGTAGCTAAAAAATAGCAGACAAATCTGCTCTAATTTAACTAGGCTTGAGTGATATGACTTATGTTTTCCGTCTACATTACTTCCATATCTAATCCAGTAAGCCCAACTTTTCTCTAGGGTTCTGTGTGTTATTTAGGTGGCACAGAATTCTTGTTTTTCATGTACAGAAAGAGATGGAAACCTCAATCAAAACAGTTTGTAAATAAATGAGTGTTTCAAGCATACAGTGTTGCATATTTTTCAGAAAAATAAACTTAAAAAATACACTTATTAAGAAAAATAAACCCACTTTTGCAGCTTGGCAGTCTTAAGTGCGAAGTTCGTTTCAACTTAATCAATTCATTCTCTAAAACGAACCCAGTGAATTTATAATCTTCATAATCATATACATCTAGTCCATTGCCAGACAATAGCGATCTTAACATGTTCTGTCGAGTTAGAGATCTTTGAGTTAAAACCAGTTATTTACCGGAAGAAACATATAAAACAATAGTTAGCAACTACACTAGTTATTGTCAGTAAACTTATTTCCAATGAATGTTAAAACTCAAAAATAACGTTGACTAAATTATTCCACATAATGAAGCCATTCTGGTTTCAGAATTATTACTAACTGGTTTGGGAATGCAAAACATTTTAACAAGTATCTAAGTAAAGAGTTTTAGTCCCATTCTAGTGTTTTCCGCAATCCAAGTACTAAAAGAAAGCCACCAACAAACTTCCAGTTGTTTATCCCAAATAAATCACTTGCATATGGTTAAAAAGTATTCACCCCCATGTTGCATACCATTATGAAATACTTACCCAATCGCCTTTTATCAACATAAACAATTTTTTACACTCCACTAATCGACATTCAAAGTATGAAGCGTCTATAATCTGCTGAAAAATTATGTCTCGCGAAAGATAGTCTGTATTTTTCAAAAATGGTACAATAAGTAGGAGAGGGATTTTCAGTTTATGTGCGACTTAGTCCTCAGGACAACTACGTCTTTAACATGAGTCTTTAATGCAGATTGATTTGCTTATATTAAGTTATTTGAAAGGTAACATTATAGGTCAAATTATTCTGCATTAGCTTCATTCGCAATGTATTTCACAATCAAAATATATGACACATAGCTATGCAAAGTCACTATAGTTAAGGTATCTGATCAAGCTTTCAGGTGATATTTGACGGAAAATGCAAAATAATGGTCTGACAAGTGTCTTTTTGTCATCCGGGATAGAACTATTATCAAAAGAGTTCCCCAAATCAAAATTACTGGTTTTATGATTAAGTACTCACTGAGTCTCAATAAAATCATTTAAATCGAAATAAAATGGTCAGTTTTCTGACAAGCGTTAAAGATCTCAGAATTAACTTACGCCTTAAAATTCACTGAAGGTTTCTTGAAAAAATAAAGCATTTTTTTAAACTTCGAAGTTCCCAGAACACGTTCATAGGCAAAAAATGGCAGCAACTCCATCAAAGTATAGCAGTTGAATGAGGACTCAGTTATACAATGGCCCTTCTGGGGAATATCTGATTCAAATAATGATTTCATAATGCTAGTCATTAGTGCATAGAACGTCTTAACTTACAAAGAATCCAACTCTGGAGGTTTATTTGGTGAACATTTGTATGACTCAGAGGCACATTCCGAGACGAAAAATACAATTATGTTATGAACTGATATTAAATCCATGAAAGCAATGAATATGTCACTGAGGAGCTCATATTCCGATATTAGATGATCTGAAAAGTAGTCACAAAGAGCTATTATTTTGGTGGAGCCACAATCATCTGCAAATCTTTTCCTCAAATAGTCTAGCTCCACCGAAAACGAGTCCCTATGATCACAAAAAATCAATACGTTCATGGATTCACTCATCTTTGACACGAAAACATATTGAGCTTTTAAATTTATTAAGCTTTCAAACTTCAAAAAGATGGTTTCGCCTGATGGTGATATTGAACCGATTGTACAGTAGATTGACGAGATAAATTTGAGATGTGTGAAATTAATTTTCTTAAGTATTTCCAAAGAACTACTATACTTCAATTAAATATCAAACCCTCCGAAGCAGTAAGATTAAGCAGCCATTAGTGATAAAGTCGGGAATTTCGAGGGTACTTTCGTGAACAGTTGTACATGTAATATACTTCGAGGGTCTTTGCTTAGCGTTGTTTGGGAACAAAAGATACCCGACTTCTGTCAAGATGAAGGTGTTTATGAGCAATATGCCATAATCACATTCTGTACAATTTATTTGTTCTGGAAAGATTCCAGATCACTGCTATCAGATAAATTGAGTATGAGAGGGGGTTTTGTAGAGATTGTAGTAATTTCAACATTTGAGATTGAGTATGGTTTATTATTGCTTCGTAGCTCAGGTACCTTTAGGGTTGCTCTTCTTCAGCTTGCTCCGAAGCGAACTGAGATATTACAGTAGGATTTTTCCGAAGAATGTTTTACTAATGAGCTAAACAGGTTGTATGATTTTTAAAAAAAAATTAAACCCATTTTTAAAAAGTTTTTAATATGCATTTATGCAAACCGAAATTTCTTTCCTATATGCCATACCAAAATTTTGCCTCTTGATCACTAGCTTCCCCTCCCAATATTTCTGTTTTTGCACACCATGGTTGTCCTTCGATCCAGAACAGAGCTAGTGATAGTACTTAATTACAGTTGTGTTCCTCCTGTTTCATTTTTTATGTATTGGTATATCCTGGAGATACCAATTTTTCTCTGACTTCAGACTATGACGGCCGCCACATTGGTTAACTTTTTTTGATTTCACATGCTTGAATTTATAATTTTGGTTTAAAGTACACTTCCCATCTGCTGTAAATATATCCATTATTCTTGAAAATCAATTATCCTATAGGATTCTTAAAGATATGTCAATCTTTTATCTTTTACTTTTAGCTGATCACCTTCAAGTAAACTATCCGATTAGGCAGAATCGATTTGACAGCCCATTTCTTATAATTGTTCAAATATATTGTCTGTCCTGTACCTTTAAACTTGTTTTACGTTGAAATAACACCACACACTTCTATCAAATTACTGTGTCTCGGTAACATCAGTTATTGAGAGTCACAGACTAGAAAACTGTTCTGTTCATCTCATGGTCCTGAAAACCTAGCTTTTCTGTCTGTTACAAACTTCAATACGAAAATTGGAAGACATATTATTTATAGCAAACAGAGCAGCATCTGGGCGTTCTGACAGGATGATAACCTGTGGACAGAACCATCAAATTACCAGAACACCAGTGTGTTTTTACTCTCCACCACTAACATTCTGTATGTGCTAGTATATAGTAGACGCAAATTGCATCAGTCTAGTCATTTGTTTGACTGAAGTCACTTTGGAAAATAGCTATTTACTCAGGGGCACTACATTTTTTGTATTTAAAAACACAGATGTATGAGCAAAGAGTATTCCTCTCAATAATTCCTCTTCAGGTTCTACATATATATATCCAAATTAATAATCCCAAAAATACCCGGGTTTGAGTCATAGTAGATAATTTAAAATTATAGAATGTGGATTTATGATTGTTCTTAATACAAAATAATGTCGATAATTTCGGAACAACTTACAGGAAGTATTGACTTGGTTATGTTCATACGTCAAATGAATTTGTGAGATAAATGACCAGAATAAATATGGTTAGCATGGGATGAGATAATTACCACACTACGTACCTGAACGTCAGGGGCTACTTCCTGAGAAGAATGGACTGTAATGTTTCAGTCACTTATCTGTGATGATTGGAAAACATAGCTTATGTGGGTCGAACTTTAGCTAACGTTGTTGTTTATTAATGACTGTATGGAAGTTTTATCCAATAAACGCTTTGACTACTGTCTGTTATGCAGCATAAAACGTAACCCACAAATACTTTTTAGCAAAAACGTTTGTAAGCCCCATGTTGTCAGGCTGTATGGTGGTGCTGATACCATGAAGCGCACTTACGTGATTCACTTGACATTCTCAATCTATTTCAAGTGAACGACGACGATTTGACTGGAAAGCTTAAATAGTCATACAGGAATTCTTATCAAGTCTCTATGAAGCCTATCTTCCTAAGCTGAGTAAATGTGTCATTCCAACCTTGTTATGTGTATCATGATCTTCGTGTATTACCTCTCTCATCAATGACCTTTTGATTATATTTATGCCCATTTCTGCGCGTGCTTCCCGTGTTTGTTTCAGCCATTTACGCTCTACTTGCTTGCCTTCAGTCTTTACATTATTCACTTTATATAAAGAGTGAGTTATTTAATATTGGTGGAGTGAGCTAGTGTGTCAACTTCATACTACTTCTATTTGTCTTCCAATAAATTATTGTCTGCTCATAAATGAAGACATAAAATTAATGTATCTTCATTACACTTAGTATTTGTTTTTTTCGGTTCAAGTTTTTATCAGTGTTTATCGAGGCGTCCAACTACAAAATATATGATCATTAGGCTGGAATCAGACACAGGGACTGAAATTGAAGTCACGGTTTTTACTGACTTCTAAACTAGCTTACTGTAACCTATTGATCAAACTTTCCTGCTTTTTGAGATTTCTCAGTTAAGGAACAAAATATCAATAGAAAGATTATACTTTCGAAACTAAGATAAAGGACGTAAAAGAGGTAATCACTTCAGCATGAGTCGAAAAATGACATTTATTTCCTAGACACAGTTACCATTTTTCGAACTTCACAGTTGTTCACCCACTACTCAACATTTAATAATCTGTCCTTTAACTTAAGAGCGGGTTCATCTTGGTGGATTATCTAGCTGGGGTTCAATATTATTCCACATACCGTATGAGGATACCCAAAATGCAAATCATTTGGAAGGCTACCATATTTGTATGTGTATGCTCGTTTGGAGAGCCACAGTGTTGATAGCACTAAGTGCGACGGCAGAACAAACACTATTAGAATGGATCCCTGTTAACAGTTGCTTATGTGCTGTTCGGTTAAATGGCTTTGTGAGAACTCGGAGGGATAAGGACACACGTCGTTACCTTTTCGTCGTTTCTTCCTACGCTCCTACTCACTGCAGCCTGTATGAAGTGATAGATGACTTTTATGGAAAGCTTTCTAAACTCCTCAATAAGCTCAATGCTCAGACATAGAATTTGTAGCAGGTGACTGATGCCCAAATAGGTAGCTTAAACCAAATAGAAAGACATTTGGGCAGGTATTTTCGTGTTATGGCTCATTCAGCATATAGTGGTGATCATCTGTTGCAACTAAGCTCAGGCGATCGTTTATTTTTCGTAAACAATAATTTTAAGTATAAGGAGGGACATCGTGTAACATGGCGACCCCCTACACCAGACCAACATTGGACTCAATTAGACCATATTGCCATCAGTCATCGTTGGAGAGGCTCGATAGAATGCTGTCGCTCGTTCTGTAATACCTGTTTGGGCTCTGATCATGCTCTAATACGAGCACGCATTTGCTTGCGCCTCACTGGGTGCAGAAAACCACATAAAGAAGACCCATCCGAGTTGAATTGAGTGACGAGAAAGCCAAAAATAGATTCTAGGAACAACCGAGGCCACACTTAGGCAGTTTTGAAAAGTAGGCCGACCCTAATGTTCCATGGAAACCAGTCAATTTCTACTAAGTTTATGGCATTGATAGATTCTCGTAAACTCATCCCGTCTGGTTCCGAATCAAAAGTTTAATGAACGACCGTGAGGAGTGGTGGGCAATGAAAGCAGTAGAGATGGAAAATGCAGCAGCCTTGGATAACACCAGACAGATTTTCAGAATAATAAAAAATACTGGAATGAAGAAGTCAAGTGTGAGTGTGACGATCTCAATAAGTAATATTGAGGTTAGACGCAGGGTATTGGGGAATAATGCTACGTCAGTTAGTGAGGTTATAAATGTTCACCGGATGAGATGGTTGGGCCAGACGTTACGTATGTTCGAATACCGACTGACACGACGCGCAATGCTGACTAGTGTTGTGGATGGTTGTAAGAAAGTTAAGGTCGGCCAAACCAAAACGTGGCATCAGTGCTTGATGTCACTAACTTCCAGTCTGAGCCATTTTGGTAGATGCAGACTATTTGGTTTGGGTCCGCGCGACTACCGTAACCAATGGTTGGAGACTCTGGGTGACATGGCTCAGAATCGATCACGATGGCGTAGGTGTACACACTATTTGTCTTCCCTCAAACTATGGGTTTAAAATTGCTTTATATTTTCTTTTCCACGAACTAATTCTCTCTTCCTGTTTATTTTGTGCTAATGAGTTGTGGCAACTTGGACCGATGAATATGTGTGCCTTGTTCTATTTTGTAGCCGATTGATTGACTGCAGGGCAGAATTACTTGCGGTTGATCTGACTGTAAAACAATTCTTGTGTGGTGCATAAGTACATGTAAGAAAGTTCACCCATATATATTTTCTATACGATATTTCTAGCTATATCTACCGTTATGTTTCTAACATTCTGCTCCATTTAGAGTTATGTTCACTTTTTTGGTTCAGTTGACAGTCATTATTTGTAAAATACATGGCTTTTCACCGTTTGTTCTTTGTATGATAGTCTGAAAATACCATTGGTTTATTTATTATGATTTTGACCTCAGCTGTTGCAGACTGACATATTCTTCAATACGGAACGATCCTTTTTGAAAAAATAAACTTCAACCTTCAATCTTAACCTTAATAAAATTAAGCTATTAAATGCTGATTTCTGGTGATTGTACAATCTAGTAGGATTGTATCCAGTCACGTTTGGGTTCTCCAAAAATGTCGCTCATAACGTTTGCAACTGTCACAAACTACGTTTTATTTTGTGAAAACTGAACATGAAGAAGTTTTTCTCAAGATCGTTACGCATCTCATTTCTATA